AACGGGGGGTATTCTCTTGATCTCTCTGGATGTGTACGTATTAAAAATATCTACATTAAGATTATGATATCAATATAGTTTGTATGTAGGGGGTAATACGCGAGTTTGGAGTGAGCTATATTATACTTTCTTAGATTTACGCGAATATTTGACATTTTAAATAAAACTATTTTTCGGATTGTTTCGCGGATTTATTTTGATTTTTAGTTCCCGACGTTTCGATTGCTTTACAGCAATCATGGTCATGGGAGAGACTGAGGTTACAGACGTCACATAGGCGTTATACACTAATTGTTACAGACAGTGCCTACCCACTATTTTACAAAAATGATTTCAAAAATTCAAAAATGGCCAAAAAAACCAAAGTACCTTACAATATTTGTAGATTTTTATTTCTAAACATTTAAAAAAAAATAAAAAATATATATATATTTTTTTAAATGTTTAGACCAAAATATGTATGTAATGTAGGAACCAAAAATGAAAATAAATCCGCGAAATAATCCGAAAAGATAGTTTTATTTAAAATGAGCTTTATTGCTTTTTATTCTAGATCGTAGAAAGAGCTATGCTTAATTACGAAAATGCTTATTTTATACCTAACTGTGAAGTCACTTGTTTTGTGTGTAAGACAAATTTACCATCAAATACTGCATTCCGAGGATTTGGTAGTCCACAAGGTATGTTTGGTGCTGAAAATATCATATGGGATATAGCGAGTAAACTAAAGAAGCCTCCAGAAGAAATAAGAAAAACTAACTTATACTATGAAAATTTAACTACTCACTATGGTCAAAGTTTGACGAACTGTACTTTACAGAGATGTTGGGATGAATGTTCAAAAAAAAGTAATTTAATTGAACGAAGAAACGATATTCAAGCCTTTAATAAGTAAGATTAATTTAGTAAAGTATATATATTGATTTATTATCTTTTATTTCTATTTATAAATAAAAATTTTTTTTAGATATCATCGTTGGCGTAAGCGCGGCATATCAGTAATTCCAACAAAATTCGGTATTGCTTTCACTACAAAATTTTTAAACCAAGGTGGAGCTTTAGTTCTAATTTACACTGATGGATCAGTTCTTCTATCACATGGAGGAGTAGAGATGGGTCAAGGCCTACATACAAAAATGATTCAAGTTGCCTCACGGGCTCTTGAAATTGATACATATAAAATTCATACAAGTGAAACGGCCACTGACAAAGTTCCCAATACGTCTGCTACAGCTGCAAGCGCTGGATCTGATCTGAACGGGATGGCCGTTCTTGATGCTTGTCAAAAGTTATTGAAACGTCTACAGCCATACAAAGATAAAAATCCTAATGGCAAGTGGGAAGATTGGGTATTAGCAGCATACCTCGATCGAGTAAGTTTGTCAGCAACAGGTTTCCACGCCACTCCAGATATAGGATACGATTTAGAGAAAAATGCAGGGATACTTTTCAATTACTTTACATATGGAGTTGCCTGTACCGAGGTGGAAATTGATTGCCTTAGTGGCGATCATCTTGTTGTTAGAAGTGACATAGTTATGGATTTAGGAGAAAGTTTAAATCCAGCTCTAGACATCGGCCAAATTGAAGGTGCTTTTATTCAAGGTTATGGTCTATTCACTATGGAGGAGCTCATCTATTCTCCTACTGGAACGTTGTATTCTCGTGGACCTGGAGCTTATAAAATACCAGGTTTTGGTGATATTCCACAAGAATTTAATGTCTCCTTGCTGAAAGGGGTTTCTAATCCAAGGGCAGTTTATTCATCAAAAGTAAGTGAAGCACAAATCTACCTTTAATCAAATCTCAAATTGAAATCTATATAATAAACTTGTCTGACTTTTAGTTACTTCATTGATATTTATGTTCTCGATAAAGCTAGTTAAACATGTAAAGTGCCATTTCTCAAAATTTTCTGAAAATAAAATATATATATATTACTTATATAAAAAAATAAAATACCCGATTGCATAAAAGCTAATTAAAAAGATGAAAACAAGTTCACGAAGGAATATAGTAAGTATAAGCACATTACCCTCCTTTGCGTCGCGCAGTCGGTAAAAAGTAATCTACGTTAGAAAAAAACAAAGTCCAAAGTCGTTTAATCCTCTTCTTTGTTTTTTAAGTTTTATATTAAATAGGTCCATTTTTGTAAAGGAACCTACCTTGAGATTAATTTATTTTGAGAAAATATGTATCTTTAGGGAGTTTCTTAGATTTTATGATCTAGATTCAGAACGAAAAATGTAACTACTTGGAACGGAACGGTTTCAATTCAATAGTGAAAATCATTATAATATCCATCTAACCCAGATCTGGGGTCATGCGCGAGCAAAGTAGAAAGATGCCATTACACTGGGAGATTATTAAAGCCTGAACATGATTGAAATTTGATAAATAGGTGTCTCATGTGAACTGCTGGACAATTCTGTAGTTAAACTACAAAAAAAGAGTGGCAGTAATAAAATGTTTGTTCACAGAAATACTAGATTAGATGTTTGTAAAATATAAAATGGACAGGGGAAAAAATAAAAATTACATTATTTCTATTCAGGTGTTTCAAAGTAGACTGCTATAAATAAAATAATATAATGTACAATCTATATGGCATGACAATATAATGGACATTCATTATGATCGCATGAAGAAATAATAAGAAATTGTGAAATATTGGCTATTGCCTAAAATAATAGTAGGTAGTTATTAATTAACTAAAATTGATCCTAACATTATCTGAAATATTAGCTTATGAATACAGCAGGATTTGAAAAAAATCATAAAAAATACTTTTAATTTTGCAGCTGATAAAATGATTACATAGATATAGATGGGAAAATATTGTATTTTTCTTTTAGTGTAACAAATTACATATGCTTAAAACATTCAATGCCCTCCGTGTGAGGTAACCCATTTTAATGTAATAAGTAAGACGTAATTTAGGAACATTGACATGTTTTTTTCAGGCGGTAGGTGAGCCTCCCTTATTTCTGGCGAGCTCCGTTTTTTTCGCTATAAAAGAGGCAATTCGAGCAGCCCGTCTAGACGCTGGAGCTTCTCCCGACTTCACCCTAGATTCACCGGCCACGTCTGCGCGCATACGCATGGCTTGTGAAGATCATATTACTAAAATGGTAAAGAATTTATAAAACATACATATTAGTATACTCTTATATTGCAGTTTTTATATTTTTTCTTAAAAATGAGATATTTTCTCGCGGTAAAAAGTATCCTATATGTTGACCCGGATAACCAGCTATCACCATACCAAATTTCATCAACATTCCTCCAGTGGTTTTTGTGTGATGCGGTAACAGACAGACAGACAAACAAAAATTCTAAAAACTATAGATTCGGCCTCTGTATCGATATTATGGTCTATTTCAATAAGATTGTTCAAAAAATATTTAATGTAGAGATTCGGCTTAGTTACAATTTTATTATATGTATAATTATAAATTAAATTATTAAACAAATTAATGTATGAAGTAAACCTCGGTAGAAGTATTATTTTAGTTAGTATCTCGGTACTTGTATTAGTTTACTCTTAATAAATGAAATAATCAGATTGTTTATGTTAAAGTATGTAGTAATCGTAGTGAAGATAATATACCTATATACCTATATGTGCATGTTTGATAAACTTTTTTTTTGTTAATATTATTATCTTTCATTTCAGATTCCTCGTCCAGAACCGAGTAGTTTTGTACCGTGGAATATTATACCTTAAACTACATCTAAAAACAGTATAAACAACAATAAAAACTAGTTTCCAAGCCATGAAATCTTCGTGATTATCATTTCAATGGCATAATTTTTCATTCAAATTATATTTAAAAACTATTTTATAAGAATACATTATTAACATAAATCCTAAATATGTTTTATTGTTTTTATTTTATTAAAATTTGAAGTAACATTGAAATTCATTTCGAAATGCTGACAACCTTTATCATGTACTCAGTACTACTAGGTAAGTACTATCCAGTATTCGGATTCTGGGCGCCACCATATTTGTTTTGTCACGGATACATTCCACGACAACGGATAAAATTTGCGACTAGAAACTTACAGGCTAATAAAGGTAACAAATTGTCTGAAGGTTTTGTTGGTATGTACTTATATCTAAATTACATGCATTTGAAAATGAATGACAATTAGGTAGGTACAAAAATTTATTGTAATTTATGTAGGTACGAATTTATTCATAGTTTGATATATTTATGAATTAGCAAAAGAAAGCTTTGTGGGATATAGATTGTATGAATCGTTTTCTGTAACGTCAATATAAATAAATGTAAGTATCACATTATAGTCAGAAAAGTAAAAAAGACTACCTAGTTATGCAAACTTTCAATCCTCGCGTGAACGTAGCTGTAGGTAGATAATTGTATACGTGTAATGAGGTCAGACAATATTGTTTAAAAAATGTGGTTATATTTATTAAATAGTTGCTTCTTACTACATTAGTACATATTATATCACCTTTCTCTCCACAGAAATCTTAATAATAAGCTAATTATTAAGATTTCTGTGGATGCGTCCCAGTTGTAGGTAGGTGCCTAATAGCCTCTGTTACTCCAGTTTGTGTATTAAATTTTATCCAAATTGGTCCATCCGTTTTCGCGAAAATAACAAACAAAATAAAAAAATCTATGTTCTGTAGATCTATGTTTTAAAACTGTTTTAAACTAATATAAATCAGTAATTAAATCTTATCTAAGACATGTCTTTAACGATGTTTTCTGGAGTCTTAATTGTTTAAACTTATTATTAATGTGTCTGCGATATGCGATATTTTATAATACATATAGGTATAATGTACATTGTACATAATATATCCTACCGGCTACCGTAGTTATAGTACGGGCTCTGCGATCACTAGTCACTACGATTCAGACGGCGCTCGGACACCGATGATTTCGCATGTGGATGCATGCCTCGACCGTATTTCGTAATATAAATTTCAACACCTACCTGTATTGTAAGCGATTGTGAGGAAAATGAATATAGATAATATCGAAGATATTTTACCTAAGGACAGGGAAACCGAATTAGTGTTTTTCGTTAACGGAAAAAAGGTAAGTTTTAATTATATGTCTTTATTATTAAATTTATTTAACAGCAATATGCTTTATAAATATCTAAATTATGTAATATGTTTGTTTGTATTACACAAAAATATATTTGCTTGAACTATCAATCCAATAAGCAATGCAAGTTATTTTAAGTAGGTAATGGGTAATTTTAATTTAGTGAACTGTGTAATTATTTAGTATGTGTACACTTTTATCTTATTGTTACTTGAGTAAAGTACTGAGGTATTTTCTTTAACAAAAAGACTATATGTATTAATATTATTGAAACGCAGTTAGACTTTTTCTACGAGTGACATTGTTTTTATTTTTATGAAGGCCATATACAAAAAACTTATTTTGATAAAAAAATAACTAAAATAAATTTAGGGTAAGCCAATCATCTAAGTATTCAATCAAAACAAGATGTCTTGAAGCCCGAATAAAAGGCCAAAATAAGGTCCGTTCAATTTCTTTACATGTACAAACAAGCAGTTCACAGATTTGTAGGTACCTACTAGTAAAGGCGCAACGACGCGAGGCAGCGAAACGTAATCCAACTAATGTTATAAATGTGAAAATGTGTTTGATTGTTTGTTTGTTTGTCTGTCTGTCTTTCTTTCACGTCGAAACGGAGTGACAGATTGACCTGATTTTTTGTGTGGAGATAGTTGGAGGGCTGGAGAGTGACATAGGCTACATTACTATCGCGGGAGATAATGGTATTCCCACGAGACAACACGTTATATTACAACCCAAAAAATATTTCTGATCAGAATTACTTGAAACTTAGTATTAATGCTTTTCAATACAATTAAATAAATACGTGTACGCTTTTTCGAAATTCATCCCATAAGAAGGTAAAATAGGGGATGAAAGTTTATATAAAAGCTACATTCTTAGAGTTTTTCTGTAGTTTTAGCGCGAGCGAAGCCGCGGGTTCTGACTAATTACGAAATAATTGCGTTCGTTTGATTCCTTGCTGTATTATTATTAATAAACCTTAAATTATGCAATTAATATGTAGGACATTTAAGGATTTATTCTATAAATCGTACACTTTAGAAACATGGTTAGGTACTTGTAGTTTCGATAGAAACAATCCAAAATGATCTTCGCCCGTCCGTCCGTCTGTTTGTTTGTCAAGGCCCTTTATCTCGGAAACAATTTGTAATTAAATCATACAAAACAGGGTCTTTATGCATGGAATGGCGGTCCAAATTTTGAATTGAGTTTGTCATGTGGGGTATCGTATGAAAGCGGTTCATTGACACAAGCTTAAACAGATTTCTAATTATTTTTACGATGTATAGTTTTTATAATATGTACCTACAAATTTGTACGGAACCCTAGGTGGGCGAGTCCGACTCGCACTTGTCCGGTATTGTCAAACGTTGTTCTCTATTCTTAAGCATGGTTCAGATATGCTATTTTGATGTGAAGACTTTCTTCATCCTTGACTATGCAACAGGATTGTGTCATTTGTGATAATTAGTGAGTTTTTTAATTACAGGTTATTGAGCGCTTTCCCGACCCTGAGTGGACTTTGCTATGGTATTTGCGCAAGAAATTACAGTTAACTGGCACAAAGTATGGCTGCGGAGAAGGCGGTTGTGGCGCTTGTACCGTAATGATCTCACAATATTTTGAACAGGACAAGAGTATTAAGTATCCTTTCAATTACTTATAGAAAGAGTGATTTATTATATTTTATGCGATTGGTACTTTGTATCTGCCATATTTATTTTGATGTAAATTTTGCCTAGGGTTTTGAAAGTTGACTTGACCCAATCTGTTTATCATATTCTATCTTTAACCGACTACCAAAAAGGAGGAGGTTCTCAATTCGTCGTAATCTTTTTTTTTATGTACGTTCACCGATTACTCGAAGACACTTGAACCAATATGGAATTTTTTTTTGTTTCAAAGGGTATACTTCCCAGGAGGTCCCATATAAATTTTATCGAAATCGGTCAAGCGGTTTTTGTAAATCAACAAATAAAATATTTTTTTAAATAAATTGCTTAATCGAACATGTTATTACAACTTAACTAATTACTTCCTTCTAACAAATTACCTACTTATTACGTCTACACTAAAAATAGACAAATAAAAACTTTTTAAAAAAATTACAAAAACCGACTTTCAGGCACTAAAATGTAAAAAATAGCTAAACGGGAGTTTTCATCTATACATATAATAAAACTGTAGAGGTCGAAAGTCTGTAAAAAGGAAAAAAATTGCTAAAACCCGAGTCAGGGGGATGTAAGAAGACAAATAGAACATTTTTTTTTCAATTTTTTGTTTCTATGTCTGTCTCTTTATCTGTTTGTCTGTTTTTCTGTTTGTACGGGCTAATCTCCGAATTTATTGGATCGATTTAGATGAAATTTTGTATGGTGGTGCCTTATATCCCCGGGCAACATCTTAGATACTTTTCATCCCGTTAAATTAAAGAGGTCCCGTGGGATAGTTAAAAAACTATAATTATTTATACAGCTTAGTACACAAAAACTACTGATTGGATTTTAATGAAACTACAATAATATAGTTCATATATGACATTAACTAATCGGCTACTTTTCATCCGGGAAAATTAAAGAGTTCCCGTGGGATAGTCAAAAAACTTTTTAATTTTGATGAAGCTTTACAATAATATCCATACTAATATTATAAATGTAAAAGTGTGTTTGTTTGTCTTTCTTTCACGTCGAAATGGCTTGGTGGATTGGCGTATTGTTTTGTTTGGAGATAGTTGGCGGGCTGGAGAGTGACATAGGCTACTTTTTACCTTGGAAAATTACATATTTTCCACGGAAAAAGACGTTATAATACAACCCAAAAAATATTTATGATCAGAATTACTTGAAACTTTATATTATTACTCTTTAATAAAATTAAATAAATACGTGTTTTAGCATTTTTCGAAATTCATCGTATAGGAAGGTAAAATAGGGGATGAAAGTTTGTATGAAACTATCTTTTTTGAGATTTTTTGTAGATTTAGCGCGAGCGAAGCCGCGCGTTCTGCTAGTTTAGAATAGATACCTTATCAGATATTTTCGAAGTCGGTGCCATACAACATAGAACCTCCTCCTTTTTGGAAGTCGGTTAAAAATGGTAATTCATATAATATAACATCAAGAACTTCGGGTACATAGAAAATATAATTAAAATATACTTATTAATTAAAGTATCTAAATAATGTAGATAATATTTTGAGAATGTATAAAAACTTATAAGAAGAATTAGCGACTCACCCTCGCTCTACTCGGGTTCGTCCCTACTTACGTTTTAACGTTTAGTATAGATTTCTCAGAGATAAGATATTTTCCTGCAGTAAAAAGTATCCTCGAATAACCAGCTACCATCATACCAAATTTCATCATAATCTGACAAACAAAAATTCTAAAAAGTATAGATTCGGCCTCTGTATCGATAATAATGACTATTTCAATAAGATTTTCAAAAAAAAATTATGTACAGATTCGAGTCCATTAGAATATTATTATATATATAGAAGATATAGATCTATAATGGTACAATGAGAAATGAATGATTTTCTATATCTTAGCACATTATGGCAAATATAAAATGTTGATACTAAAGTCTTTTCTTAAAAATATCATTAACCAAACAATATATGTAAGTGATTCTAATTCAGAAGGCCTCCTATCAACTCTTACTGCGACTCTATTAAAAATACCTAAAAATGAATCGTTTCGTACCATGACCTACATAAGAAGATACCTACTAAACAAAATCTTAAATGAACCTTAAACATTAATGTCATTTATTCAATTCGCAACAACACTGTTGATAATACGAAAACTAGCGATTCACTTTAAGAACATAAATTGTACTGCAGTGGAAATAAGTCGCATCGCAAAAGTTCATGGTAGGCCGTCAGTACTAGTCATGATTTTTTTTTGTTAAATAAAAGAATCCTAAGATAATGATCAGACATATGGCAGTAAATGCATGTTTAACACCGTTATGCGCAGTACATGGCTTAGCAGTAACTACGGTTGAGGGTATTGGTAATATCCAAGATAAATTACACCCTGTGCAAGAGAGGATTGCTAAAGCACATGGATCTCAATGTGGTTTTTGTACACCAGGCATTGTCATGTCTATGTACAGTTTACTAAGAGACAAAAAGAAGTTAGATTATAATGATATAGAAACTTCTTTACAAGGTAATCTCTGCAGATGCACTGGATACAGACCAATAGTAGAAGGATTTAAAACTTTTATGGAAGCTTGGGAAGGTGTCAACAATATTAATGATGAAAATAAGCCTTGTGCAATGGGAAATGATTGTTGTAAATTCAAAAAAGGCGATGCAGATATATTATATAACACATCTGAATTTCGGCCATATAACTCGACACAAGAACCCATTTTCCCACCAGAACTAGTTTTAAAAAATAAATATAGTCAGAGTTTTCTATACTACAAAGGCAAAAATGTTACGTGGATTAGGCCCCGAAATATGGAGGAAATACTTTTCTTTAAAAATATGTTTCCATGTAGTAGAATTGTTGTAGGTAACACGGAAATTGGTGTAGAAGTGAAATTCAAGAAAAAAATCTACCCGATTTTAATTTCACCAAATTATGTAAAGGAAATGAATTATATTCGTTTAACAGCTACAGGCGTTGAAGTGGGTGCGGCTGTTACTCTGACACATTTGTATGATTTTTTAGAAAATATTATTAAGAAAAATGAAAAAAACGAAAAGATATTCGAAGCTATTACAGATATGCTACATTGGTTTGCTGGTAATCAAATTCGTAATGTTGCATCTCTTGTAGGTAATATAATAACTGCTAGTCCGATATCAGATTTGAACCCAATATTAATGGCTTGTTCTGCTAAGCTTAAAGTCAGCAGTTTTAAGAAAGGTCTCAGGGAAATTGTACTTGATCAAGGTTTCTTTACTGATTATAGAAAAGTAGCAATAGATGATGATGAGGTTGTCTTAGCAGTCGAAATCCCCTACACGCATGATGGGGAGTTTTTTAAAGCCTACAAGCAAGCTAGACGAAAAGAAGATGATATATCGATCGTAACGGCAGCATTTAGTGTTATAATTGATAAAGATACAAATACGGTAAAAGAGGCCAAGTTGTGCTTTGGAGGAATGGGGCCGACAACGGTATTTGCTGCTATGGCGTCTAAAAAATTACAAGGTCTTAAATGGAATGAAGAAAGTGTAGGTAATGTTTTACAGTATCTTAATAATGAGCTTGTATTAGATTCTTCGGTGCCAGGAGGAATGGCAGAGTTTCGTAAATCTTTGTGTTTAAGCTTGTTTTTTAGATTTTATATCTATGTATGTAATGAATTAAATTACAGTACTTTAAACGGTGATAAAAAAGATTTGTGTGGTTGCTATGAAATACCACGTCATATTCAACCTAAAAGTACACAATGTTTTGAAATAAAAAATAATAATAAAAATACTTATGACGCTGTTGGGAAACCTATACCGCACGCATCTGGTTTGAAACAGGCCACTGGTGAAGCCGTTTATTGCGATGATGTTTTAAGTACTGATGGAGAATTATATCTATGTTTGGTCCTTAGTTCAGAATCACATGCCAAAATTATTTCTATTGACCCAAGCAAAGCCTTGTTAGAAGACGATGTAGTAGCTTTTTTTTCGGCATCTGATTTATCTGAAAAGCAAAACAAAATGGGCCCTATTCTAAAAGATGAGCAAATATTCTCCTGCGATATCGTTACTAGTCGTTCCTGTGTAATAGGCGCTATAGTTGCAAAATCTGAAAGCGCAGCAAGAAAAGCTAAACACTTAGTATCGGTAACATATGAAAGATTAGAACCTATTGTCATAACTATAGAAGATGCAATACGCTACCATTCTTATTTTCAAGCCTCCCCACGCATATTAAAAAAAGGAAATATTGATAAAGCCTTCTTAAATTCTGATCATGTTCAAGAAAGTTATATTAGAACTGGAGCACAGGAGCATTTTTACTTGGAAACAATGTCCGCATATGCCATAAGGAAAGAAGATGAATTAGAAATTATATGTACTTCTCAAAGTCCATCAGATATACAAGTAAGTATTTTAAATGAAGTAAAAATAATAAATAGAAAAAGACATTGTACCTCTAATTATTATAATAACAATAATTTTAGCATATCGTCTCTGAAACGCTTGGCATACCTAATCATAAAATAGTCTCGAAAGTTAAAAGAATTGGCGGCGGCTTTGGTGGAAAAGAAACTAGAGCAGCTGTGTTAGCTCTTCCTGTTGCTATAGCAGCCTATAAATTAAAGAGGCCTGTTCGCGCAGTTTTAGAGAGAGATGAAGATATGCAAATTACTGGATACAGGCATCCATGTTTAATTAAATATAAGGTTGCATTTAATAAAAATGGCAAAATTGATGGTGCCATATTTGATATTTACGCTAATGCTGGAAATTCCATGGACATTTCTTGTTCGGTAAGTTTACATGTATTAACTGATGTAAAAAGTTTTAAATAATTAGTATATAAGTTGTGTTTCTTTCTCAGATGATGGAAAGAGCTGTAACGCACGTAGACAATTGTTATTTTATACCAAATATACAAATAAATGGCTATTTGTGTAAAACAAATATGCCATCCAATACGGCATTTAGAGGTTTTGGTGCACCAAAAGCAATGTTAGCAGCAGAAGCTATGATAAGAGATATATCGATTACACTAAACAAAACATATGAAGAAATTGTCGATATAAATATTTACAGAGAAGGAGATTTAACTCATTATAATCAAACACTTACATATTGCACGTTGTCTCGATGTTGGGAAGAATGTATAGCAAGTTCTGACTATTGGCAAAGAAAACAGTTAGTTGAAGAGTATAATAGGTACAGATTTAATTTGAATTTATTCGTAATGTTTGAGATTTGCTATTACTGTATTACATTGCATTCACCAGTTATCACTGTTGCTTTTCATTTTAGGTCTCACAGATGGAAAAAGAAGGGTCTGACGATAGTTCCCACAAAATACGGAATATCTTTTCAGAATGATTTATTGATGCAAGCGGGCGTTTTAATTTTAGTTTACAACGATGGTTCAGTACTTTTATCTATTGGTGGAATAGAGATGGGCCAAGGTCTGTTTATCAAAATGATTCAAGTTGCATCTCGAGCTTTAGAAGTAGATGTTTCAAAAATTCACATAAGTGAAATGTCGACAGATAAAGTTCCTAATAGTCAGCCAACAGCTGCAAGCATAAGTTCTGATTTATATGGCATGGCAGTAATAAATGCCTGCGAAATTCTAAAAAAGAGATTAGAACCTTACAAAAATAAAAATCTAAATGGAAAGTGGGAAGATTGGGTCTTCGCTGCGTATTTAGATAGAGAATGTCTCTCGGCAACTGGATTTTATTCAGCGCCTAAAATTGAATATGATCGTGAAAAAAATTATGGAAATCTTTTTGAATATTTTACTTACGGTGTTGCATGCTCCGAAGTTATTATAGATTGTCTAACTGGAGATCATCAGGTCCTCAGAACAGATATCGTCATGGATGTTGGAGAAAGTCTAAATCCTGCTATAGACATAGGACAAATCGAGGGCGCATTTGTTCAAGGTTATGGATTTTATACTATGGAAGAAATGTTATTTGCACCAAACGGAGAAGTCCTTTCTAAAGGACCTGGTGCCTACAAGATACCGGGTTTTTCAGATATTCCAAAAGAATTTAATGTTTCTCTTCTTAAAGGTGCTCCTAATCCTCGTGCAGTTTATTCATCAAAGGTATACATTATAATGTATTAAATGCATTATATTTATTTATTTTGTGAGGAAATAACAACTAAATATTTCATACAAAATTATCTATAAGTATGTAGCATTAAATGGATAAATTTTATTTCTAGGCCGTCGGGGAACCTCCACTATTTTTAGCAGCATCAGTGTTCTTTGCCATTAAAGATGCCATCAAATCTGCAAGAATAGATGCCGGGTTTAGCCCAGAGTTCACTTTGGAAGTTCCGGCAACATGCGCTCAAATTAGAATGGCTTGTGAAGATAGTATTACTGAGCAGGTATTGTGTATAATTAGTATTAATTTTTAATTATTGTACAATTGTACGCGTGACCTCACTATTGTACGCGTTTCTTACTGAGGTACTTATGAAATATCTCAAGACGGACTGTTTCCTTTTACTTGCGTGGAGTTTATATTCAATGAGTATCTTAAGACATTATATAGTGAACTATATTCTAATCTCTAACGTTTTATATGTTACATAAAGCTACGGTTTAGATGCATTGCATTATTACAAATTTTGTCTTAAATTCTAATGTATCATCATTTAGTTAGCTTTTTGAATTTGTTTCCTATTTAATTTTAGTTTGCATATTTTGACACTATTATGTTGCTAAATCCTATCCATAGTATTCTTCTATTATTAATCTAGTACTATACTAATTTAAAAAACAATATATTTAGCATTTTACTATACAAATTAAATTAATCACCTTTAAAAATACACGAAGAGATTAGGTACTACTTTAAAAGGAAGATTTATTTAATGTTTGTAAAAAGTATTTTTTTCTATTTTTCAGGTGAAACCAACTATTAAGAAAGGAGGAATGCCATGGAATGTTAAACCATGAAATGTTAACAAACCGGTTTTTTATTGATTGCATCTGATAAAGTTTTAGTATTTTTGATAAGACAGTCAAACATATGTTAAAACAATGAAATCATTAATATATATTTTTTAATAAAATGTTCTTTTAATTATACGTACTTCAAAACAAAGAAGCACCCAGCGTCGAGCAAGGAGTTGCCTCTTTCTTATTTACTCTAGAAATATTGTTTTCTATATAAACTGTGCTACTCCTTATAATCACTTATTCCCTTTTTTAACGTTGGGTAATGCGTTTAGGCACGAAGTGTGGCCGTTACGGGCAAACCCAGTAGTACTACCCACTAAAACCCAACGGAAACTCCCCCGTCTTAATGGGGCGTCGCATGATTGCTTACACACTCAACCACGACGCAACGACGACAGGTCTTCCAAAGCAGACCACAACAACACATGGGGTTGTTCCACAGTCCACTCTGCTATCAGAGAATTACTAGGAGCAACCCGTATGGTACACCGCCCACCGAGGTGGGCCATTTCCTTGTCCGTTTATTGGCTTCGCGCCCGGCTGGATTGGACAGAGCCCCCCACCACGACAAGGTGAACGCACGTTTGTGGGATAATTACATATATTACTCACTCAACATAATAAATCCTTTCTTAGCGGCTAATGTCACTAAAGGAATAGGCTGTTAAAAGAGGTTAGAATATTTTTTATGGAAGCCAGCTTCCATTAGCTATCCATTTGCTACCTTCCTTCATTTTAACTACGTAGCGACTTACTCTCGCTGCGCTCGGGTGCATCCCTAACATTTTTAATAGTTAAGTATAGTTATTGTGAGTGTATCTTTAAGGAGATACACTCATGCTATCGCGGACTTTTCTGTGTGAATTTTTAAGACCTACAATTTTAAAAATGTCTAGTTATACTCTCTCGATCTCTCTCCAGTCATAGGTTTATATTTATAATATGTATGTAATTAAAGTTATATATGTGTAGTATTAAGTATATCAACTATCTGGTATACATAATATAGGCCTCGTAGCTTACCATGGAACTGGATGGTGCTGTGTGATATCGCAACATATTTATATTTATATAAGTTTCTGGCGCTCAGACAAAAATAATCATTTGAAACTTTTGCTTCGTGATATAAACGAATGGTTGTGTATTTATTTATTATTGTTCAGATTAAATGAATTCTGTGGTTAAGTGTGGAAGGCCGATACGATGTTACTGGTTTATCATGGATAGAGAACACTTAAAATAAGGAATTTAATAGGGCCCTAAAGTGTCACGTTTCCGAGATATTTTGAGATGGAACTTTATCGGATAAAATAACTGGGGACTATTAAATATAACTAACACGTAATGACACAGTTACATAGTAAATTATTATTGATTTTCATCATTTTCATTGGACGATTTATATTTTTATTTGAACCTAAGCTCTGATGAATCCGTTAGGCCCTTAGGGCAAGCAACTTTCAAATGGTAGGTATGGTATAGGTATGTAAACTAATGTATTTTTAATGACTAAAGAAAATTGTCTTTGCGGTAAATCTTCGATTATGACAGGTTTATAATCAAAGCGGTAAATATAATGACATTTTTAGTTTATTTTAAATTAGTAAGGCATTTATAAAAATATCATTACATAATATTATTTAAGTAAAAAGCAGTATGGTAAGTATTATTTTTAATTTTTATTTCGTTCTCTCTTTACTTTCTTACTACATACTTTCTCTTTAAACACAAGCCTAAAGAGTAAAGAGGTCATTGAAAGAGAGAGAAAGAAAGAGTCCCCTTAGAGAATTGTGTTTAATGCAATCTTTCATCCTTCTTTTCACTTCCTTATATATGATATGTTTTGCAGAATGAAAACTGTCCTATGTTATTCCCAGGGTCTCAAACTATTCCCATACTAAATTTCATCTTAATCGGTTTAGCAGATTAAGCGTGAAAAGGTGACCGACAGACAGACAGACAAACAGAGTTACTTTCGTATTTAATATGGATATATAAAGCTGGCTTTGTTTGTGGTGATAATCTATCATCATCGGCTTGGGCTGAATGTTGATAGGTAAGTGAGTCGCGACATTGATTTTAATATATTATAATAAAAATAGTTATTGCGACATGCGAATGTACCTTAGGAGATAAAGATATACTATTTCGAATTATTCTGTAGACCTTTTTAAGACCCACAATTTGCTAGTACATTGTTTTGACGTATCTCTTAAGTTTTTGCCAACGTTAGCCATATAAATTTCTAAGGACGACTCGATAGAACCAGTTATTGGGTTTTCCCGTGAGAATGACATTTTTTCCAGTACTAAAAGGCACCCTAAAGGTTGACCAAATAATTGGTTCATTACTTTTTGCGTGAAACGCGCACTCACAAACAGACAAAAAAAATTAATAACTATTATTTTGGGGTCTATATTGTGTATATAATACGTTAGTCATTGTTTTAAAAGAAATATTTCATGTACAGATTTCACTAAGTTACTGTTTTATTATAAGTATAGAATATAGATATTTAGGATAATTTCGGCAATTCTATAATATGCAGCAGGTTCGATTTTACCGTTTACGTTAAAGTGAATCTCAATATCAGTTATACATATTAATTCAACTTTAGATTTTAATTGTACTTAAGATATTTAAAAAAAAACTGCTTTTAATTGCAAAACCAGCAAGTTAAAAAACCTCACAAAATTTCATTGCACATACACATAAACATATTAGAATTACATTGCAATTAGTTTGTATAAAGTTATAATTTACTTAATTTAATTAAGTAATCGCTAAACGAGAAAATATTGAGAGCTTGTTATTTATTTATTATATAATTATAAAGTCGTGATCCGATTTGTATCTAATCTTCGAAGTCGAAACTGGTTTGACAGGGCGACTAAAAAAAAGCCTTGAGTGGGATCACAACAAAGTTGTTATTATTATTTGTAATTCTGCCGTGCATAACTCTAGCCAATAAATGTCATATGTCAGTGACACACTTATCAGGCGACCACATGCTTTGTAGTGCGCAATAAGCAAAGATACGCAAGGGTAATATACGTAAAGCGGTACATATATCATCATATATCTACAACAATAACTTTGATAGTCGCGAACGTAGCACAATCAAATTATCTCTTGCTTCTTCCTTCTATTACTATAGCTCCTCAGTTTTGTACAAACACCCGCGGGGGTCGGACAAGGCTTGTTTAAAGCATTTACTTTGATTTATGTATATAAAAATTAGTTATTAATTTAGATATTCCATATTAGTTGATTCAAATATGGGACTGTTAAATGCCGATGACGAAGTCAGTGATGTGTGCACCGAGTTGATTTTTTATGTGAACGGGAAAAAGGTATGTATACCTATAATAAAGATTTATCAATGTTTATGGTATATCATTCTGTAACATTATGTTCTTCTTCCTTATTCATCGGTTAGCAATAAATTGAAATGAAGATTACAACTACCTACTAGGTATTATATGTATAAATTCTGCACTCTGTGTAGAATTTTGTTCCGTTTTTAATTACTTTTGTTTTATGTAATAAATAAGATTTTAAAAATTTGTTAAGAGTTAATCGGATACTTTATAAGTATATTGTTAAACTTGGCGGTTTTTGGCAAGTATTGCCCTAAATGCGGCGGAAAGTAGAGTAGCGGTGGCGGTGGTTAGAATTTTCTCAATCTACCCAGAGCTATATAATATATATTGTGTAAATTACTCAAATTACTCGTATAAATCAAATATTAATGTAGACATTTTAAGGGGTTATGAGAAATATGTGTATATATATGTACATAATAATACTCATATATTCTTCGTTCTATCTTAAGAGTTCGAGTTCGTTCTATCTAGTTTTTAGACATCTAAAAATTAGTTCTAATTATGGGTGTGCATTCTGACCAATAACAGTCTTTATACATAATTATCTATAATACCTATACTTATTGAATTAAATGTTTATTTCCATAATATATGGATACTGTAATATCATTATCATGAAGTGTTCAAGAGCGATCTCGATAGGTAGTTCTTAAACTTGCGGAAATATAGAAACGGATTGGCGTGATGTATGTATGGAGATAGTTGGAGGGCTGGAGGGTGACATAATTATAATACAACCCAACAACTTATCATACCTAGATAGGTACTACACCATACCTTATATTTATATAAGTACATATAGATTATATGTACTTATATTCCATCTAAGCCGTGAAATCGTGCGTAGGGAACCCGAGCGAAGCTAGGGTGAGTCGCTAGTATATAATAATAGTAATAAAATCTTTCTCGATTGTTTTTCTTTTTTATAAAAATAGGTATATAAAATAAAGTGTACATATAGTAAAAACTTGTTGTTATTGAGATATTATTTAGTAACTTGAGTTAATAGATGGCTAGAGTCGGATACCGTCATACCTACTACATATTATTATTTAGGTGTCTTATATTTCCACAAGTTTGTAGCAATCGATTGCACAGATACGCAAGCATGCAAATTCTTATCTCAGAGAGAGTAAACAAAATTAATGCAATATATGCCTATCTGTCATATCTACCAGTTATTATTTTTATGACTACCTCCTTATCAATTAAACTAGTTTTATGTTTTATGTTTTGTATTAAGTAAAACAAAGTTACCTATAAAAAAAATGTATATTTTGGCTATTTTACAAAGATGAAATATATAAATAATGCTTGTGTAATTAAGATGTCAGAAGTAAGTTGTAACATCAAAGCGATACGAAATTAATATTCTAAAGTCAAGGCGTAATAGATTTCTCAACACAAGAGATTGGTATCCAGTACAGTGTCAGTAAAAACGATTAGCCTCATTTTTAAAAACGGAAAATAAAATTCCATGTAAGTATACATATAGCCTTGTATATACATGTATTGTATATGGAGATGTATTACCCTTAAATCAACTATGTATACAGGGCCGTGGCGCGTGGGCAAAAATAATAATATAATACAAATTTAAAACAAGGTTTCCTACAATTTCGATACCTAAATGTCTATTTCGTGATGTGAAATCCAGGTTTTTAGATTTTATAGTTATTTATATATCTATCTGACTTTAAAATATTGACAAAATGTATTATAAGTTGTATTCACGAAACGTTTTCGCTCAGTTTGTAGTGACCCTACTTGCAGTCCAGGAGGCATTCATATGAGATGAGCATGAATGGTTGTACTCCAGTCATGGGTGTTTATATTTATAACATGTATTTATTTAAAGTTATATATGTATAGCGTATTTGGTATATACATATAACACAAGCCTCGAAGCTTACCATGGATCTAGAGAGAGCTAATGTCCCAACATATAAAGCTGGAATCATAGTTAGATTTTTCGAATAAACTAAATAGTATAAGTTGAAATAGCGTAAAGTTGCAGGTAAAGGCTGTTAAGGTATCTTAAGCATAAAGTATATATATATTAGAATTTTGCTTACGTTTTTTACACTTTACAGTTATTGCTGACATTTTGGAAAATACAATGTACCTAAATGTAGGGCGTAGGCATCTACGGTCTATATTGATGTAAAGGCGTAATGAAATATGGATCGTTTTAACATCAAAAATGTAGATGATGAAATGAATAAATACATATACGCACAAATTATATACGTTATAGTCATTACAAATTTATTATTTCATCATACAATAAATAACAATATTTTATTTGTCGATATGAGGTTTTATTTAAATTGACCCTTTGATAAGTTAAGTTCATGTCCGCCAAGCAAATATCGTGCCATTCAAAATAACAAGTTTGTTTTGAATTAACATCATCGGAATCTTTATTAGAATATTTTTCTTCCATTTTAGATAGAAAATTATACGTTAGTCTTTACAAAAGGGAATAAGATTCAAGAGCCGTGTGTCCAATTTCGTAGATCTATCTCCTACTCGAAATTTGCAGTAATTTAGTACTTTAACTGCCACTCCTGCTAATCTTAGTACTATTATTAATGCAAACTTTGAAAGTACACCCCGCGACAAAAGGCCCAGGTGCCCCAGGTACTCTAAATTTAAACAGGGATATTGCTAATACAAATTTATTTCTTTAACTTTTTCTATATATTATTCTTCATGGAAGGAATATATTCTGCCATAAAGCACCCTTCGCGGCGCCCATGACTGTGCATGTACATATTATATTCAATAGAAAACAGTACATATTTGATTTCTCGGTAGTAAATAAAATAATTCAAAAAGTGATAATGGTTTTAAAGCATGCTTATATGGCCTACGCGGATAAAACTATAAGACATATTTATATCAAATAAACTTATTATAAAATTTTAGAAATAAAAAATCTACAGAAAATTCTGCAAAATGCACACTATCCATTTGCTAAGGATAACTTACAGTAACTATTTCCATTTTTTATAATTTAATTAAAAATAATGACTTATATAATAATAACTCAAAAATGTTATTTTTCAGGTAATAGAATCAAATCCAGATCCAGAATGGACTCTCCTGTGGTATCTACGCAAGAAGTTACGTCTTACTGGAACGAAGCTAGGTTGTGCAGAAGGAGGCTGCGGGGCATGCACAGTTATGATCTCAAAATATAGCCGCAAGGAGAAAAAAATTGTGTATCCTTTAATATTTTTCATCTATACATATAATATAACTGTAACTAAACCCTACTATATTTATGGTGTTTTAATGTTTATTCAAAAATAAGTGATTGCCTATAGTAAATCAGTCATCTAGCGGTAAATGCGTGTTTAGCTCCCGTTTGTGCTATGCATGGTTTAGCCGTCACAACGATAGAAGGAATCGGTTCTACTAAAACAAAACTCCATCCAGTCCAAGAAAGACTCGCCAAGGCCCACGGTTCTCAATGTGGATTTTGTACGCCGGGTATAGTTATGTCCATGTACAGTTTGCTGAGAAGTTGTAAGAAAATTAAATATTCAGACATGGAGGTCGCTTTTCAAGGGAATTTGTGTAGATGTACTGGCTACCGAGCTATTATAGAGGGTTATAAGACGTTTCTTGAGGATTGGGAAACAAATCGAGTACCAAATTTTAACTCTGAACAGTCTAAGAACGACGTATGTGCAATGGGTAAAGATTGCTGTAAAAATAAGACTGATAATACTGAAAGTGATCATATTTTCGACAAATCATCATTTTTACCATATGATCCGAGCCAAGAACCTATATTTCCACCTGAATTAAAGTTGTCATCGGTTTATGATGAACAATATCTGATATACCGCGGGAGCAAATCCGTTTGGTATAGACCACCAACACTTAAAGAGTTATTAAATTTGAAGCAACAGCATCCTGATGCTAAAATAGTAGTAGGAAATACAGAAGTCGGAGTGGAAGTAAAGTTTAAACATTGTGTGTATCCTGTGATAATTATGCCTAATTGTGTACAAGAGATGAACTCGGTGGTAGAGACAGAGACAGGACTTACCGTCGGCGCATCAGTTACGTTAATGGAAATGGAGAATATATTTAGAAAATATATAGATTGTTTACCTAAATATAAAACAAGGACGCTGACAACTATTATAAACATGTTAAACTGGTTTGCGGGCAAACAGATAAGAAATGTTGCAGCGATCGGTGGCAATATAATGACCGGGAGTCCAATATCAGATTTAAATCCCATTTTAATGTCTCTGAAAATAAAACTTAATCTTCTTAGTGAAAAAGATGGCCCTCGCTCTGTTTTGATGGATGAGACGTTTTTCACAGGGTATAGAAAGAATGTAGTGAAACCTTATGAAATTTTACTTTCTATAGAAATTCCATATTCAACTAGATATCAATATGTGAAAGCATATAAGCAAGCGAAGCGCCGTGAAGATGACATCTCAATAGTTACAGCAGCTATTAACGTTGAGTTCGAGTCTGACACAAATATAATAAAAAACATAAATTTGGCGTTTGGGGGCATGGCACCCGTAACTAAAATAGCAACAAAATGTGGTGAATCTTTAAAAGGTATGAGTTGGTCTGAAGATATGCTTGAAAAGGCTTATACGTATTTGTTGGATGAGTTGCCATTAGGCCCATCAGTACCAGGAGGCAATGTTCTTTATAGACGTGCATTAACTATGAGTTTGTTCTTGAAGGCGTATTTAGCTATAGCAAAAGAAATATCACAAGACTATATAAAGGATGAATTTATTCCGTCATCTCATAGCAGTGGTGCGGAGCAGTTTCACGGTAGCATTCCAAAGAGTTCTCAGTATTTTGAGTTGGTAGGCGATAAGCAAGTTAAGACAGATGCAGTTGGTAGACCGATACCACATGTGTCCGCTTTAAAACAGGTCACAGGTGAAGCAATTTACTGTGATGATATACCTATGGTGGAAGGGGAATTGTATTTAGCATTCGTTCTTAGCTCAAAAGCACACGCCAAATTAGTATCAGTCAATCCAAATGAAGCTTTAAAGCAGCCGGGTGTTGTGGCATTTTTTTCAGCAAAAGATTTAACGGCAGATCAAAATGCTATTGGCCCAATTTTCCATGACGAAGAACTTTTTGCAAGTGAAAAAGTAATCAGTCAAGGACAGACTATTGGTGTCATAGTAGCCGAAGATCAACAAACAGCGCAAGCAGCAGCCAGAATGGTTAAAGTAGAATATGAAGAATTGCAACCAATTATTATTACAATAGAGGATGCAATTAGACATAACTCATTTTACAAGCAATATCCCAAAAGTATACGCAAAGGAAATGTAAAACCTTTCTTTGAGGATCCCAATTATATTGTTATAAAAGGCGAATGCAGAATGGGTGGGCAAGAACACTTTTATTTAGAAACTCATGCTGCGTTTGCAGTTCCAAAAAAAGAAGATGATGAGCTGGATATATTTTGTTCCAGCCAGCATCCTTCAGAAGTAGCGGTATGTTTAATTTTATTGGTAATTGGTACCGAATAATAAACAAAATAAATTCATATAATTACTCACATATGTAAATTATTCAACAATATATTTGTTTTGAGTTAGTTTAACTATTAAGTATTTTTTTTATTTTAGAAATTAGCCAGTCACGTCCTCCACGTACCGATGAATAGAATTGTAGCTAGAGTAAAACGTATGGGTGGAGGATTTGGTGGAAAAGAATCACGTGGTATTTTAATTTCTTTGCCAGTGGCACTAGCTGCACATAAACTTCAAAGACCTGTACGTTGTATGCTTGATCGAGACGAAGATATGCAAATGACTGGAACAAGACATCCTTTCTTAGTTAAATATGAAGTGGCATGTACTAAGGAAGGTAAAATTATGGCAGCAGTTGTTAATATTTACAATAATGGAGGTTATTCTATCGACCTCTCTGGTCCTGTAAGTTTACAAATAACAATTAATAAAAGTCTAAATACATTTTGCTTTAAAAATAGTTTCATTATTTTTATTTTTAGGTTGTAGAAAGGTCTATGTTACATTTTGAAAATGCTTACTATATACCAAATTGCGAAGTGACTGGCTATGTGTGTAAAACAAATTTGCCATCTAATACTGCTTTCCGTGGATTCGGCGGCCCTCAAGGAATGTTTGGCGCTGAAAACATTATGTGGGATATAGCGAGTAAATTACAGAAATCGCCAGAGGAAATAAGAAAAATTAACTTATACCAAGAAAATTTAACTACTCACTATGGTCAAATTTTGACGCACTGTACTTTACAAAGATGTTGGGACGAGTGTTTAGAAAAAAGTGAATTTATTCAAAGAAAAACAAATATTAAAAACTTTAATAAGTACTTACATATTTTATTTTAATTTTTATGCTTTACATTCCTGTACTGTATTCTTTCACATAAATTTTTTTATTTCAGACAGCATCGTTGGCGTAAGCGCGGTATATCAATAATTCCAACAAAATTCGGTATTGCTTTCACAGAAAAATTATTGAACCAAGGTGGCGCTTTAGTCCTAATCTACACCGATGGATCAGTTCTTCTTTCACACGGTGGTACAGAGATGGGGCAAGGTCTTCATACTAAAATGATTCAAGTTGCCTCGCGAGCTCTTGGTATTGATATTTCCAAAATTCATATAACCGAAACAGCTACCGATAAAGTTCCGAATACGTCTGCAACAGCAGCTAGCGCTGGATCAGATCTAAACGGAATGGCTGTTCTTGAGGCTTGTCAAAAGTTGATGAAACGTCTTCAGCCGTACAAAGATAAAAATCCCAATGGCAAGTGGGAAGATTGGGTATTAGCAGCATACCTTGATCGAGTTAGTCTTTCAGCAACAGGATTCCACGCTACACCAGATATAGGATATGATTTCAAGAGTAATACGGGAATTCCTTTCAATTACTTTACATATGGAGTAGCCTGTACCGAGGTAGAAATTGATTGCCTTAGTGGCGATCATCTTGTTGTTAGAAGTGACATAGTTATGGATTTAGGAGAAAGTTTAAATCCAGCTATAGACATCGGCCAAATTGAAGGTGCTTTTATTCAAGGTTATGGTCTATTCACTATGGAGGAGCTCATCTATTCTCCTACTGGGACGTTGTATTCTCGTGGACCTGGAGCTTATAAAATACCAGGTTTTGGCGATATTCCACAAGAATTTAATGTGTCTTTGTTGAAAGGAGCTCCTAATCCGAGAGCAGTTTATTCTTCCAAGGTAATTTTAAAACATGCGTTTCTTAATTAAAACTATTACCTACCTATACCTTAGTATTTTAAAATCTTATATGTACTTAGTTATACTAAATATGTACGTTTTTAAAAAAATATAAATATTTTGTTTTTAAATATTTTAGTAAATAAAATAAGTTACCTGCTACTTTAATGTACTTTTTTATATGTATTGTATTCTCTATATTTCAGGCGGTAGGTGAGCCTCCCCTATTTCTGGCGAGCTCCGTTTTCTTCGCTATAAAAGAGGCAATTCGAGCAGCCCGTCTAGACGCTGGAGCTTCTCCCGACTTCACTCTAGAGTCACCGGCCACGTCTGCGCGCATACGCATGGCTTGTGAAGATCATATTACTAAAAGGGTAAAGAAAATTATACACAATTATAGGAATCAGTCAACATTGAATCATTTGTATATTTGGGTCACCCTAAATGGTGGCACTAACACAATCACAAGTTTTTACAGCTGTCACTACCATAAATATGGCACCCGCATTGTGTTTTTCACTTTGCATGTCGTAAGCGACATCTGGATCGAAGTTAAATAAATTTTATAGAGATTAAATAATCTTAAGAATTACCTACGCCTATTTATCTACCTTTATACGTTTTATCTAATTTATCACTCATTTTATCGTTGTCATTCATTCTATTTGAATAGGTATTTGAAAATGTATGTTTTTCTAAGTGAACAAATCCTATTTTATTTAATAGAGTAACTTCTTCATTATTAAACTCAGGTAAAGTTACATTTGTTGTATCCCTACGTAGTACGTATGTACCTACCTATATTATACCTAGTTATATAGGTAATTTCGAAAGTTGGTGTTTGCTACTTCTTCGTGCTTTTATGTCGTTTTTTTATCCAAATTAGCTGCTACGTTAGCGGAGACGCGGGCAATAACTTCCATGTTTCTTAAAACCTACATATACATGTCTCAATGTTTGGTCGAGTAAAAATTAAATACTTTGGTCTTGCAGTTAGTTAGGTGTTGCCTATGTAATCTATACTAATATTATAAAGCGGTAAAGTTTGTGAGTTTGTGACGTTGTAGGGGGTAATCTCTGGATCTACGGAACCGATTTAGATGAAATTTGGTAAGAAGATAGTTTGAGACCCTGGGAAGGACATAGGATACTTTTTATCCTGGAAATCATCCCTTAAGGGGGTGAAAATGGGGATGAAAGTTTGTATGGGGAATCATGCTTGGGACGAACCCGCACGAAGCGAGAGTGAGTCGCTAGTTAATAATATTTACGTTTTTTAACATTGGCGGTCTCTTGATAGCACTTTTTATTCTAGCCCTAGAAACAATTTTATTCATAGAAACCTATGCTTGTGAGTGTGACTTTAACTTCCGATATTTATTCATCCGTTACTAACCTGATAGACGCTGCCGACGAAGAAAAAAAATCTTTAAATTCGAATATGATATTTGAAATAAAAAAAAAAACTTAAAAAATAAGCACTCACTTCAGTATCTCAACCCATTTTTCCAAAAAAAAAAACAAAGAACCGCATTCGAAATACTATTAAGAATTTAAATAAAATTCGCCAAATCTGTCGCTTTTCAATGATACAAATTCATTTAGCAACGTACAGCATTACATTTTTAAAATAACGTTGTATTTTTAACTTCTATTTTTATTTATTTCAGCTTCCCCGCCCGGAGCCAGGCAGCTTTGTACCATGGAACGTAGTACCTTAGAATATCCTCTTATTTATTATTTTTATACATTAAAAAGTTTTTATTTGACTGATTTTTTTTCTCCAAAACTTATTTAAAATATTCAATATGATTAAATTACAAAACTGATCTTAAGTTAAAAGATAGGAAAGAAAAAAGTTACAAAGTTTAAATAAAAATTATTTATTTAAATTCGTATCTAATATAGTACATTACAGACTAATAAACAACAAACATAATAAATTAAAGACTGCGTCAAAACTTTGACAGATGATACCGTTCAACAAGTAAGTACCTACTGCTGGTTTATATTAAACTAGCACGTTTATTTAATATATGGCTATTTTAAAACAATTAAAATTTACGCTTTAATAGTGAAGATAATATGAGTTTCACACAGAAAGGAAATCTAATATTTAAAAGAGTCTGGGTCACAGTGTATATAACAAAACTCCTCCGAATCAGCTTGACCGATTCTTATGAAATTTTGTGTGTATATTCAGTAAGCGTAAACTATTTTTCATACCCATAAGTGATAAGGGTGGTCCACCCTAGGGACGAACACGAGCGAAGCGGGGGCGAGTCGCTAGTATATTATATATTATAGTAAACAAAATAGGAATTTTCATTCACGAATACCATTATTTTTATAGGTTTATTTCTAAACCTAATTTAATGGATTAGTCATTAGTTTATTTATTCTTCGATTTTTTTAAATGGCATGTGTTTCATCATACATACAGACATTTCTCAAATCACTTCTTCACAATTCACTAATGGACCCGATAGGTGGCGTTGTGATCGAATTTAGGAATTTTAACAAATCTAAGTCATCTCGACATCTATCGGAGTAAGTTCAATTTTTTTATGTTAATTTTTTGTTTCATATTCACTTTAAGACAGAATGTCTCTTCAATATGTTCTCTGTTAAAATAAAAAAATAATACTTCAAACTAGGAAAATGAAATGTTTTATAAAGCATTATTTTATACGTTTACAGCCCCTTTTTAACGTCTCTATGGTGGGCACGTCTCCCTTCAATACGAGGGGATCAGGCCATAGTTCACCACGCTGGCCAAGTGTAAGTTGATCAGCCACTTGCTTTTCTTCACTTGCTTTCTGTCTTTTGAAAACTTTCTAGGATCTCTCAGACATGCTGGTTTCCTCACCTAGTTTTCCTTCACCGTTAAGACAAGTGGTAATCATGTTGGAAAATGATTCATGCACATGAAAATATCAAAGGTGCGAGACCCGGATTAGAACCAGCTTCATTTGATTTGCCAAACAAGCGCGTTACCACTGATCACCACTGTCTTAATTATATTATAAATTAAGACAGAGTTACATAATATTACAAAATTAAAGAAGCACAAGTCATTGTATTATAAATTATAATCCTAATGTAGTTGTAATTATGTACAGTGTAGGAAATTCTTTTATTGCTTAATAGTAAATTGTGTTGCTGGATAAAAAGAAAGAAAAATATTTGCAATTTTTCTAAATTCGCCTACTATTCGCCAAATCTAAATATTTGAAAGTTTACAACTATAGATAAAATGCTAAAATGATAAATACTAAAGACGTACATGTATATATAATAAAAACTTTATGTAACACATATATATATCATTGAATAAATTAAATTACATTACAGAAACTTGGTTTTATCTTGTTGTCAAGATGCTATTCCAATAATAATAATAATATGATAACTATAACATGTTTCATTTACGGAGTTATGTTATCTTCTCGACGCAAATAGCGGTCTGTCTCTTATCTGTCTTTAATTGAGAACATTAAACAATTTTGTTTCTCTAGTGTTTTTTATAATTTAAAAACATAATATTATGTATATTATTAATATTTGATCAGCTCTATGACATTTAAAATCATATTATAATATTTTTCTTTGCAATTTAATTAAAAAAAAACGTATTATATTTAAAATGGAAATTTTAGCATATTTACAAATATATATATTTACAATTGAGGAAGAAATACGCTTGTTTTCGTTCGAAAAAAATAAACTAAAAATCATTTGAGTATGTCATTTCTCAAATGACTCTGTACTTTAAAAAAAATTATGTGAAAGATTTAATAGCAAATATAACATACATAGAAGAAAATGAATAATTAATGTACCGCAAATAGAAAGAAAAGTGGCCCCCACTATATTTTTTATTAAACAAGGATAGAGATAGCGTTATTTTAAATCCATCTCATTTTTTATATAATATGTTTTCTGTGGTACATTATTTCTATGTATAAATCAAATTCAATTCTACCTTAACCACTGATAAATACAATTTGGCTCCAATTTTAACATTAAGCAAAATAAATGTTTGACTAAGCTTTTTATTCACTTCTCCGACTCCGATGAACATCCAGAACCAGAACTGGGCCCTGAAAAAAACCCTTGCTGTAGTCTACATATTATATTTTAAAACAAACGTGTGTGTGTGTGTGTGTGTACTTATGTACGCATGGAAGAATTTATACTTCTTAACAGATCAAAATTAGCTAAAGATTTCATCTCTAACTTCATCATGTCACTTTATAGCTGTCCGTGTGCGCGCACATCGTAAAAATTTTATTCTCATAATTTTTTCTAAACGTGCCAAAAGAAGTATAACTTCAAGAAAAAAAAAACAGAATAATCCTTTACGTCTAATAGTTTTTAACAATTCATATAAGAAAAGTGAGTCTCTCCTTTATTCAAGATAGTCAAAATAGAATAATTCTGTCTAATGTTTTTTTTTCTAAAAGCTAAAACCATTTTTTGTTATTAAATTTTGATGTTGCACGTTTTCTTTTTTTAATGTTTTAAGAAATATAATACTCACATATTAATTCAGTCTCTACTGAATGACTTATGATATATATAAAAATATAAGCAATTGGTGCGTGATTAACTTGTACTGTTCATCTATTATATTATACAGATAAATAAAATTGAAGTGTCTGTTTGTAATGTTAAAATAATACCTTTATACTAAATGCATATGAAATTATATGTATACGGTACTTATAAGAAAAACACAATTTTTAAAATGTTTGTCTGTTTATTTCGGCTAGTCTCCGAAAGGGCTAGATTGATTTTGACGGGACTTTCACTGAAGAAAGAAATTAAAACGTACCTAAGGACTCATCCAAGCGAAGCGATGGTAAGTCCCTAGTTTATTATAAGAAACCCTATTGGAGGGTAATGTAAGACTAAATGAAGTAAATTCTGAGTATGACTTTATAACGTCTTTATAAAATCTTTGAGGGTGCAATTTGATTTTGAAATCAAACTCTTAGCTTAAACTTAAGCTTTAAAGAACAATTATTAAAATCAGTTTACAATATGCATATATGTAACATACAAAAAACATATACTCAAATTGAAAACCTCTATCAAGTTCAAAATTTATTATTCAATATTGGTATTTCATAAATACACTTATTGCTTCTGGAATGCACTACCAACAATTCGGAAAGTTCCTAGTCCTAAAGACAACTGCCGAAATAAACTCAGCGGGAGTATAGTTATATTTTACCCGACCGCGGCGAAGCGCAAAGGAGGGTTATGCGTTTGACTTGTATGTATGTCAGAGACATACGTGTTTAGTACTAGTTGCGAGTCTTGCTTCGTTTATGTATTCGTATGTCTTCGAATGAAAAATACTATGATCCTTCATAAACTTGTTCTCATCTTTTTAGTTTGCTTTTTACGCAGTTGGGGGTTTTATATAAATATCTTACATAAGTCATAATTGCCTTTTTGAATTATGTTAAAACATCAACATAACATGTTATGTCTTTAATACTTTACCTGATTGTCTGGAATATCTCCTACGCGGTCTCCGCGTTGGGCTGTCGGAGTTGTACTCGGTTTCAGTATCGGCCGGACCGTTCCTTGATCGCGATCCTCGACCGTTATATCTAAGAAAATATTGTTTATAAGTAAACAGTGTTTCTTTTTATTATTATATAGTGTTTTAAGAGAAGTAGTTTATCGATATTCACCAATTTGGGTTACGTGAACAATGACCATGTCGGTCAATCTTACTGAAACCATCCAATTTCATTCAAATAGTTGGGCGGCGATCTGACAACCGGCGAGATCACTATATTTCTATGAGTATATGGGTGACTGTTACTTTTTTTTAAATTCTGTAACCGAACCTATTATGTTATAGCTAGAAAGAAAGTGCAAAAGGATTTTGCTACAACTATAACATATAGAAAATTAGAATAAAACTTCAATTTTTTCCTGCCACACTTCTGCCTTATTTGTTCACGGCACTGACACAAATTAAATTTGGTGGACATTCTTTGGAAAAATTATTAAATTATGTACATTGGTATTTATTAGTTCATTAATTTGAATTATTTATTGCGACTGAAATAATAACCAATTTAAAGGTAAATCCTAAGGTGGGGGACATGACACGATACTGAAGTTTAAGTACGATATTGTAGGTTCTATTTCGGCATTGTATTGATATGAAAAATCGATTGGTCGATTAATTATATATGACCACGGAGAGCAAACAATACAGGACATGAAAATCACAGTTGGACTAGAATCACCCAGCAACTTTCCGAGTCGCTATTACTGAGAATTTGCAAAGCGGGAAAAGATAAGCTAACAAAAGCTGTAGACAAAAAAAATAGTTCGCCTGTCAATTTTATTTTAATATAATTTCTTACTTTATTTAATACTTTTGTTATTAACAAATACAAATCTATCCCACGGGGACCGTACATTTTTCCGGGATAACAAGTAGCCTATGTGCTTTTCCACAATATAATCTATCTCTATGCCTTTCATCTAGATCCGTTCAGCCGTTCTGGTGAGATTGGAGCAACAAGCATCCAAACGTCTAACTTTCACATTTATAATATTAGTAAGATGGATTTATAATATTCTTTAATGGCTAGCATGTATGGTTGCACATCTGAATATCCTGGGTTCGAATCCCGGGTCAAGTTTAGTTATTCTTTCTATTTAGTAAGCCTCAGAAACAGCCCGGAGTTGGGAAGTTGGCGGTGTTTCACCCCCGTGCCTCGGAGAGCACGTAAAGCCATCGGTCCTGCGCCTCAACTCTCACCGGTCGTGTCAAGCAGTCGTCCCACCGGAGTATGAGAGTAACAGGAACAGAGAGTGCACTTGTGCACTATAATATTTTCTGCGCAGATGGCCGCCGTCGCAAAGTCGGTCGGGTGGACATTATATTATATTAATATTTTCATGATTTTCTGGGATACAAATATTTACTACTTACTTGTCCGATGATCGATTTAAAAAAAAAGTATTCGGACAGGTTGTGGTCCAAAGTTACAACGCTGGTTCAATCTTATCCAAAATACTGTGCTTTTAATAATTAAATTAAAAAAAATAATAGAAATAATTTATCAATTACAATATAAACTCACCTTTCAATAGAGCGTCTTCGCTCACGGGGGGAGTATGGCGAGCGGTGCGAGATAGGAGAGCGAGGAGAGCGGGGAGAGCGAGGTGAGCGAGGAGAGCGGGGAGAGCGGGGTGAGCGACGTGAGCGAGGCGAGTAGCGCACTGGCTCGGGCGAGTAACGGCTCTCGGGCGAGTATCGGCTTTCGGGCGAGTAGCGGCTGTCGGACGAGTAGCGGCGCTCGTATCTGTGATCGAATGCACTACACATATAGATATACAATGAGAATCCATGTCCAGTGAAGAACGAAAGCAAATCTATTATAATGGTATTAAAATATATTTAATACTAGCGGCTCACCCTCACTTCGCTCGGGTTCGCCTCTAGAAAAACAAAAACTAATCTATCCCTCGGGAACCGTATATTTTTCCGAGATAAAAAATAGTATACATACAAATTTTCACATTTATAATATTTATACAGATTAATAATATGCAGTGAAATGAATTATAGAAGTCACAGCCAGAGGATGCAAAAGTAATGTTTTATTTTATTTTATAAAATACTTTATTATAATGAAAGAAGTATGATCAATCAATGACCTAATAAAAGTCTTATATATAAAATGTGCTGTCGGATGTCCCCATATCAAGTTTGTATGTTTGTTTGTTTATCTGTCTGTCTGTCTGTTTGTTTGTTTGTTTGTTTGTTTGTTTGTTTGTTTGTTTGTTTGTTTGTTGGCACTAATTGTTATGCAATAAGCGCAATGGAACTTTGTGAATTTATGACATAGTACCATCAAGCTATGTGATGCGAGAATCGTATAGGTTTTGCAGTTTTACACCTCCTACGTGTTCCTGTGATCCTGCGGCTAGTAGCACCGACTTTGAAAATAGCCTTAGACCGATATGAAAAAAAAAACCTGTGTGTGTACTTATGTATGCACGTAAGTTGTGCTTCTTTGGCGTAACAGAACAAAAATAGATAGATAAAGATTTCATCCCGTAAGTCAAAATTTTCTGTTTTTAAAAGAAATGCAGCTAACTTCATCATGTTGCTTTCAGCTAACTCGTATCGTAAAAAGTTTACTCTCATATTTTTTTCCAAGCGTGCCAAAAGAAGTATAACTTCAAACATTAGGCACTTTATTCAGTTGCATGTTATTTTGTATACAAGCATACATAGGGACGTACTCTTTGCTTGGATGAGTACTTGTCAGTAGTTGGCGTGTTACTAATTTATAGTCCCTCCGCTTAATGACGGTAATGTCCCGTTATTCCGTCGTGAAACTTAAAGAGCTGTAGCAGTAGTTTTATAGAAACATCTATCTTTAGCTAATGCTTGGACATAGTTCCACAAGGTTCCAATGCTTCCGAATACAAACTTTCATCCACAATTTCACCCTCTTAAGGGATGATTTGCGGTAAAAAAAGTATCTTATGTCCTTTCTAGGGTCTCAAATCATCTTCTTACAAAATTTCATCTACATCGGTTCAGTAGATCCAGAGATTACCCCCTACAAAGAAACTTACAAACTTTACCTCTTTATAATATTAACATAGATCCTTAGTTTCCAAAGTGGTCCAGGTGGACCCCCATGGGTCCACGGGCGACTCGACGGGGGCCTAAGGGGGACGGAATCTTCACATTCTTTGTCGAGTTTTGGGAATATGGTAGAAATGTAGCTGCAGGGGGTCCACCGGAACCAGCTAAATTTTGAAAGTGGTCTATGAGAAAAAAAGTCTGGGAATTTTGGTATAGATGATATACCTGGGCGGATGAGGTGAGGGCAGACGGCCCAGGGGCGGGGGGCGCGGCAGCGGGGGCAGCAGCGGCGGGGGCAGGAACGCCAGTGGGGGCAGAGGCCCCGGCAGGCCCAAGTCCGCTTCTAATGGTGAAGCTACAACTGGAACAAACGGGAGTCACATTTTATTAACCGACTATTCTATTATTATATTTTCTACTAGCATACTAGGTACGTTTTAATTTTTTTGAGCGGAACCCAATTTTTTTTCTAAAATAAAAGTAGTCTATGTTACTGCCTATAACATCAGTTATCTCCCAAGGAAAGTCACGTCAAAATCAGTCTAGCCGTTTCAAAGATTATCCGGAAGAATCAGACAGACAAAAAAAAAATTGTGTTTTTCTTATAAGTACCGTATATAATTTCATATGCATTCAGTAAAACACTGTTATTTTGACGTTACAAACAGACACTTTAATTTTATTTTTGAAGTGAAAACTTCTAAAGGCAGATTTGGATACGGAGTAAATTCATGGAAGTCGTCATCGACCAGGTCACGTGATAACCTGTGTAATAAAAGGCAGTCATTTAAAAAGCCAGTGGTGACTGGATTTTCAATTTCTCGAAAAATGCGTGATATCAAAACAATACACTAAGCTTATGTATCGCGCTTTATTTATTTACTTTTTAATGTCTAGTGAGCAACTTCTTCTATCTAGGATAACTGGATATGTGAATCGGCGTGGAAGATTATGGGTAAGTGAGCATAATTTGCGATTACTATAAAATTTATTCTAACCACATTAAGGAGCGCCACACAAGCGGGCGCGCGTGCGGGCGTGTGTACTTGTGTACGAGCACGCCCGTGTGAGCTTCGTGCGCAGCGCAGTTTATGTGTGCGCGTGTGTACATGTATATGTTTAAGAGTGTGTGCGTGCGTGTGTATGTGCGTCGGCATGCTGCATAGCTGCGGCGGCGAGTCCCTTTATTGGGTGCGTGTATAAGTGTACATGTGTTTAAGCTGTGTGCGTGCGTGTACACTCACGTCTATGCGGTGAGGCGGCACCGTCCGCGGCGGCGGCGGCGAGCTTCCTGCGCAGCGCGGCGGCGTCGTCGCGCGCGGCGGCGGCGTCGCGCTTGGCGGCGCGCGCCTCGAGCCAGGCATCGTGCGCGCGCGCCTCCACCGCCGCCACCGCCGCGCGCCGCGCAGACTCTTGCTCCGCCAGCTCTAGCGTTAGCGCGTCGCATTTCTCCCTGTCAGATTTTGTACTCTAATTTTAAATACGATTTAAATGAAAACAATTTGATTATACTAGCATTTTACTGTGACTATGTTCGCGTAGATCAATTATGGATTTTTATAATTTTTATAAATTATGGCCCTATTTACTCACTCTGATATATAAGCTATATTAGTGTAAGTTTCATCAAAATCCGTTTAGTAGTTTTTGCGCGAAAGAGAAAACAATTTGAACAGAAAATTGGGAAGTCAGGAGAAATTAAAAGTAAAAAAATATATATTATAAAAATAAAAAACCCGACTGCATTAAAGCTAACTCCAAAGATGAAAACAAGTTGACAAAGAAATATAGTGTTATGCTATCGGAGACATACACGTTTCGTCCTTGCCGCGAGATATGCGGATGGAAATCTTTGGGGGAGGCCTATGTCTAGCAAGTATTTGGGCTGAGACGACGACTCAATTTTAAACAAAACTATCTTTTCGAATTATTGCGCGGATTTATTTTGATTTTTGGATTCTGACGTTTCTCTGTCTGTCTCTCTCGTGACCATGTAAATTGTAATGTATCGTTCGAAACGTCGGGAACCAAAAAGCAAAAAAAAAATCCGCGAAATATCCGAAAAGATTGTTTTATTTAAAATGTGAAATATTCGCGTAAATCTACGAGTAAGAAAGTGTTATACTCAGTAATAAGTCATAGTTACTTATATCTTTGAACTTCTTGTTGTAACAGTTCTATCTTCTCTACGGTGCTGGTTGACTCTCCCTGCTTGCTGAGCCATAATGCTTCTTTAGCATTCAATTCTCTATAAATAGAATAACATGATACGTTAATAATATAATTTATTAAAAAAACACAATAATAGAGGATATGCGAGTGATTTAAATAGAGGTGAAATATTTATTTTTATTAATTTTATTGCTTTTGAATTAAGCCTATATTAATATTTTTAATGTAATTTCTTTTTGATTAAGAACATAATTATTACAAAGTGCCAACATACGCCATTAGTCACACCGAATGTTATGTCAAAGTCTATAATAACAAAGACAGTGTTGCCAATTTGTTTAAGCAAAAGTCGTCATTTTTAGCGATAAAATCGCAATATTGGCAACACTGGCAGTTATTATAGACTATGACGTCACGCCAAGTGCGCCAAAATAGCGGGCGTTTAAAGTATCCATAACGGTATGATATTTAAAAAAAAATGTATACTAAAATTTAGTTTTTTGTAACTGGATATTTTTTACAATTATATAACGATGTAAGTTATAGTATAAAAAAACACGCATATTCACTATTAAAGAATCATTGTCAAGATTGAAATATAAGTCAATAAACAATTGACTGACTAATTACTAGGTTTTTATTTAGTTCATTTAGTTCTAGAAATAATATATACAAAATAATGAAATATCAAAAACAGTATTTGTCTAGAAAGGTCTGAGCTTATTTTATTGAATACTAGCGGCTCACTCTCGCTTTGCTCGGGTTCGCTTCAGATCAACAAAAACAAATCTATCCCTCGTGAACAGTATATTTTTCCGGGATAAAAAGTTGCCTATGTGTTATTCCAGACTATAATTTATCTCTGTGCCAAATTTCATCCAGATCCGTTCTGGCGTGAAAGAGTAACAAACACCCATACTCCCAAATTTTCACATTTATAATATTTATATACAGATATAGATATTTTTAGAAAATAAGTTGGACAAGTGTTATAATTAGATCAGGAGTCTGAGTAACTTATAGTCTACTTTTATGTGTTTTATAGTTGGAACAATTTTATAAAACAGCTCGCTTAAAGTAAATTTGCATAACTTTTCACTTCAATTTGTTTTTTTAAATTTATTAATATTACTTACTTCATAAGCTCACTTTCCCTCTCTTGGAAGTACTTCCCCAACACTTCCAGCCTTGTCAGAGCTTCGGAAGCCTGCTGACTGCTGACTTGGTATGACTCCTTTGTGGTTTTCAATTCTTCTGCTAATTGCACTCTCTCCTTGTGTTCTGCCTTTGTATAGCAAAAGAATTGATATTTTTAAAATTACTATTTTAAAAACATCAATTCTTACTAAATATAGTATACTTATGATTGAACAAATTATTTATTAACATAAATACCTAGTACCATAGTACCTACCAATTTTTTTGTTTATGTCAAGAAAATGTTTAAGAGACATACATACATATTTATTTTTAGAAATTAGAATACTTATATAAAAATTATTTACCCTAAAAATCCAGAGTATTATAATAATGGATAGAATGCAATTTTGTTTTTTTTTTAATTAGAAATGTATATTGTTTATATGTATATCTTTTACAAAACCTTACCTCATATTTTGTCTTAAAGGTACTTTTCTCTTCTAGAGCTTTCGATAGTTTTGCTTTGATCTCAGTATGATCTATAAGTGAGGTTGCATCAGTGTTAGAAGATGAACCACTTTTTATTTCCCTTATGGCATCCTGGAACAAATTGTTACATTCATTTATATAAATAAATATAAATATGTTGGAAGATTAACACAGCACCATCTAGTTCCATGGTTAGCTATGAAGGCTTGTGTTATGGATACCAGATAGTTGATACACTACACATCTATAACTTTAAATATGTACATATTATAAATATATTATAATACTAGATTACCCGCGGCTCCGCCCGCGTTCAGATGACCAAAAACCAAATTTTTAGGTTTTACATATTAGTATTTTTACGCGATCATACGCAAGCGTACCGCGTCCATAATAAGCAGGTTAGTGAGCAGCTCCAACACCCTCCTTGGCACATTGGCGGTCAAGATGGACAGCCCTCTCTGGAGGCAATGGAATAGGGTTCACATAGCCACGAGGCGGACCTAAACGGGTCTCATGCTTGTGGTGTGGCCTTAGCACGTAGGGCAATCTAGTTCTTTTTTTTTGTTTTCCTTTTCTCTTCTTAAGCTAACATAGGTTAAGTATTTTGTATTACTAACTCTTAGAATAGATAAATTGTATGTGTTTTAGTTTTAAATTCTTTTCTCTGTGTAATTATGGGTTTTTGCCTGAATTAAAGATTATTATTATTATTATATTATTATATTAGTATACTCTTACAATGCAATTTTTGTATTTTTTTTAGATATTTCATATTTTCCCGTGATAAAAAGTATCCTATATGTTGACCCGGATAACCAGCTAAATTTTATTGAAATGGTTTTTTCGTGATGCGGTAACAGACAGACAGACAGACAAAAATTCTAAAAACTATAGATTCGGCCTCTGTATCGATAATAATGTCTATTTCAATGAGATTTTCCAAAAAATATTTAATGTACAAATTCGACTTCATTAGAATTTTATTATATATGTTTATTGGTATTTTTAAATATGTTTTTTGGTATAGAAAGTATTTTTTTTTATTAAATGCCTCTAATTTTTAACCCCCGACGCAAAAAGAGGTGTGATATAAGTTTGACCTCGATGTCTGTCTGTCTGTGGCATCGTAGCTGTCAAACGGATGGACGATTTCAATGCGGATTTTTTTCATTTGAAAGCCATTTAGTTTCCTTGCGGTGGTTCTTAGCTATGTTTCAGTTCAGTATCAAGTCTTTTCCAAAATGTTGTAAGGCATTTTGGCGTATGATTACTCGATTATGTGCTTCACACGTAATAGTGTAATAGTTAAATGACAATTAACTTGTGTAGGGGGTTTTTGACATTTTTAATTAATAATAATTATTAAATTTAATTAAAACCAAAAAATATGATATATTTTAGTGCTTAAATAAATAATTAGGAAAGTAAGGGTTGACATTTAAAATATTCACCTTTAATGCAGCGATTTCATGTTTCTGCAATTCAATAGTGTTATTAGCTTCTGTCAATGTCTTGTTAAGTTCTTCAAGTACTTTTTGTTGTTTTTTAAATTCCTCCAATGCAGTTTCAGCTGATACATATTTTAATTGGAAATTATCTCGTTCTCGACTCACTGATATTAATTCTTCTTCGAATGCTTCTATTTTCCCTGGAAAAATATAAATATGACAAATTATAGGAGTCTGTTTCTTTCTCTTAAATTGTAATAAAATATTGATTATTGTACAATTTGGCTAATAAACAACTAAAAATAATATGGCGAGTGCAATATTTATAGAAAATCTCTATAACATAAACCAATTACCGTTTAACTCAGCAATTTGCTCTTCTGAATGCGCTCTTTCATTCAAGAGCTCACTAAGAGTATTTTCCACTTCTCCAAGTGTATTTTGTAACTCTCCTGCCGTGTTTTCGGATACTCTGAGTAACTTTTCATTATCATCTAAAGAATTGCGCAGTCTTTCATTGTTTTCTTTCAACTCCTGGATTTCAGCTTTTAGCGATTGAACCATGTCGTCCATACCGAACGAACTGTCCTCAATACCTGCTAGTTTACTTTTAGTAGACGCAAGCTCCTCTTTAAGGATCTCACACTCCTGTAACAGAGTTAAGTTAATAATATTCTAATACTTAGAATATTTAACTTAAAATATATAAAACTGATGAAATAAAACTATCTTGACGGATTTTTTGCGGATTTATTTTGATTTTTGTTTCCCGATGTTTGAATTCTTTACAGCAATCATGGTCATGGGAGACACTAAGGTTTTAGACGTCTCAAAGGTCATTAATTATATAATGTTACGGACACCACCTAACCACAATTTTTTCATCAAAAAATTATAAAAATTGTTTAAAATATATACATATACTTTGGTGCCATTTTTGTATTTTTGTAAATCACTGTGTAACTTTGTGGTGACTAGGACCATGATTGCTGTAAAACATTCAAAACGTCGGGATCCAAAAATCAAAATAAATCTGCGAAAAAATCCGAAGAGATAAATTTATTTAAAACATTATTCTATTTTTAAATCAAAATAATGTTCAATATATTATGAATTTGAATCAAGAAATCTTGATATTTAATATTAAAATAATAATATATTATCTTAGTCTTTCATACCTTAGCATATAATACTTTTTAAGTACTAGCAAGAGTTATTGCTAAGCATTTCATAAGGGTATTCAAAAAGTGGATAATTAATTAAAAATGAATCATAATTTATTTAATGTTTTTATCAACCTATTAATTAAACATTTTGATACCAATTCGGGTATTCATTTATTGAATTGGCTAAACAGATTGGAATTTGGAATGTTTATGCAAATACTAGAGGAGTGAAGGCGAAAAGTCAAGCTGGTTACAAGACCTAAATGATGACAATAACCAGTCTGTCAAGATTGTAACAGCTAAGAAGAAGAAGCCTAAATATTTTTATTATAAATATTGATTTTCATTATTAATATTTATTATCTAAAAAATATATATATAAGTATTATTGGTAAGTAAGTGATTATTATGATTTGAATGAAGAAATCTTTAATTTAAAATTAAAGTAATATTATATTATCTTAGTCTTTCATAACTTAGTAAGTATTGTTTAATTATTATGTAAGAGTAGTTGATAGGCATTTGATAAAGAGCATTTCTTTTAAAAAATGTTATGAAAATTATGTATATTTTGATATGTAGAAGATAAAACATACAATGTAATACTTTTTTTACCTTTGTCGAAAATAGTAATTCCCTCTGGAGGTTATTGATGTTCCCAATTAGTTTACCATCTTGCCGTTTATTTTCTATGTAATAGTACCCAAGTATAAAGAGTATGACTGAACCAGATGTAGTCAAAAGGAATGTTAGTAGACGATTTTGTTTGTTTGTGCTTTCTCCATCACAATATTCATCAGTAAAACATGTTTCACCTGCAGTTTCATTAGTTTAAAATATAATAATTTTAATAGTAGTTGTATAGAAGTTAATAATGATTTTTTTAAATATATTATTATGTACTGCACTTATATAATTTCTATCAAATGTAAATATTAAATCAGAAAAATATATTTTATAAATATTACTTACCAACTGAAGGAAATAGAGCATTACTTTGTTCTTTTGTTCCCATGACCAAGTTATAAGTATTGAAGAGATACTTTACAAATGAGAAACTTTCGTCACTATTTTGTGAAGTTTCAATATATTCTTCATTAAAAATAGGTTCAGAAGGTGCTTCGGTTGATGGAGGCCACATATCGGCTATTGTTGTGTAGATACTTGATATAAATCCTTCACTATTATCATCTTGATTAGGGGTAGGTTCTGTTGGTTCACTAAAGATTTCTTGTATTAAGTCTTCAGTTGATGTTGTTAAATATTCTGAGGCTACCACAGGAGTTGTTTCAGTTACTTCATCATCAGGAGTAGTGGATAATATAACCTCACTTGTTGATTCCACTAAGGGAACTTCTGTTGTAGGTACTGGTATATCCACATTAATTTGTATTTCTGGTGTCACACTTTCCACATTCATTTGTACTTCAGGAGTTTCATCATTTCTTAGCGTTTCAGGTGTCACACTTGATGCCTCAACTGTCTGGAAAGTTTCATCTGATTTTTTTAAGCTGATATCGGCACTTGAAATTGTGTCTGTATTTATTTCATATGAATTTATAGGTGTTACAAAGTTACTATTTATTGTTTCTTGAGATGATTCTTTTGAAACTGGCGATAAAGTTGATACAAGTAATGTATTTAGTTGTTGATGATTAACCTCTCCATTAATATTTTGAATATTATTGCCTAAAACTGTTTCACTACCTAAAGGTGTACCTTCGCTTGAAGATATGGGCACTTGTGGTGTTTCTTCAGGTAGATGTGGAATATTTACAGAATCGACAACTTCCTCTGTGTTTACCAGATTAGGACTATCATTGGGTAACTGAGAAACATCTACATTATTAATATTTGTTGGAAACATGGAATTTGTACTAGCACTATTAACATCAGACTTAGTCAAGTCTTGTATTAAGTCCACTTTTTCAGGCACCTCAATTGATTCTTTTGAAGCATTTTCAGTCTTAATTTCAGACAAAATATCTATCGGAGAATCAGGGTTAGGCATTACTAAATCATGGTTACTAGATGGTTCATTAGAAACTTGTTCATTATTATATAAATCAGAGACTTTCTCTTCTACTTTTATGTTATTTTCTATTACACTCTCGGATTGGATATTCTCATTAATTTGAGCATCATCAGTAGTAACAGCAGAATTTGAATGCTGAATAAGTTCATTAGTAATTTCTGTATTTTGTTCTGGACGATTTAATGTCTCAGGAGTATTTATAGAACTAAAAGTATTTTGATTTAATAGAGTTTCAATATTAATATCTATAATATTATCATTTTGATTATTAACACTGCTTTGAACATTATCTAAATTAGTTGTAGCAGCTATGTCTTCTTTTGCAGTCACAAATGTAGGTGGTGTTATTTCTTGTTGTTGTTGTTGAGATGGTGTTGGTTCAGTAGTATAAATTGTGGTTCCTTCAAATATTTCATGTGGTTGTTGAACTTTATCAGGCTGTACATTAGGTACTTTTATATTTTCAATAGGTAAAATTATATCTGCCTGTGCAATTTTTTTGGTTTCCTTTAAAAATAAAGAGTTAACAAAACCTGATTTACCATTGATACTTGCATACCAAATATCAGGATGGATCCCAGCTGATTTCATATAAATTATAGCTTCTGCATTAACAGGGAATGACATAAGATCTGGATCACCACTATTGTAGTTAATTAAAGTTTTCGCTTTTGATATAGGTTCTGAAAAAAACATCGAAATAATGAGAGAAGATTCTTTTACAATAATACTAATAAAATAACATACTATGTAGAACAATGTTATTGATACAAACTTTAAACATTTACAAAACTAAACTACTAAACAGATTGTCATTGACTTACTGCTACATTCTTCGTTTACACATTTAACTTTGTCAGGTAATCTGCAGTGGGATATCGTAATAAATAAAATTAATAGAACATATTTAAGCACAAACATTTTCGCATTATTATTAACATTCAAATATAAATAATTATTTATTAAAATTCACTAGCACAAGACGGTAGGCCACATCATCTGTCAACTCGTTTGTTCGGAATCAACGTTGTTTCGTTTTACGCAGAGCTACAATCTAAATGTCAAAGTCAAAAAAGAAACAAATGTCTATTTGTCTATTATATTTTTTTATGAAATGTATTTTATAATAACCTAACTTTAAAAAAATTACAGTTTTTTTCACTGTGAACTATTTACTTTTAATCTAAAAAAGAAAGTAAATATCATAAATGTACACGCTATTCCCTTACTATAAAAAAAATAGTTACTTTACGATTCGATTCGTATATATATTTTTCATGAGTTGGTTACGAATATTTTTTGATCTTTGAGATTTTTTTAATCATTATATAATATAATGTTGGTATATGTTTTATAATAGTGTGTATGTCTCCGACTGCATAATACTATGTTCTTCGTCAACTTGTTTTCGTCTTTTTAGTTTTTACGAAATCGGGTTTTTTATTAATTTTTTTATTAAAAAATATTTAATGTACAGATTCGGCTTAGTTACAATTTTATTATATTATGTATAGATAGATTTATTCTGATATCACACTCGAACTCATATGTCGCAAAAATCGTCTATTTTAATTTTTATAATTATTATTATTTTCATTATACTAATATACCCAGTGTTACTCTCACAATTAACGAATCTAATTAGAATAACTTTAGGTGCCTTTAGGTAAAGTCAAAAGCGTGTACTACTTGTAAATAAAATTTAACTCTAAAGGATTTAAATCTTATTATCTTAGCCTGAGTACTGCTGATCGAACTAAATATTATTCAGAGAGCATTTTCATGTTCATGCTTTGCCGCTTTTTTTGAGAATTGAATACATAATATGATCACGTGGTACAAATTCAACAGATCGGTCGCGTCGTTTACTTTAAATTTAATTAATGTGGTAGTAAGTAATAAATATTCAATACATTTACTCTTATTACTTTTATTAAATAATAGTATGTAACTAAACGTAATATTTTTTTAATAATTTGTATTACTTTTCTAAATTTCATGCTAGCTGGTTGCAAAAACTTATTTTTTTATATACTTATATGTAAAAATGAAAGCCACAATGGAAGCGACGTAAAAGTGAAAAGATTAAAACATACATTAAATATATTAATGAAATAATGTCTATACAAACCCACGTCTCTTTAATTGATTTATCAAAACAATTTAAATTTGAGATTGGTAAGCAATTTTTTCCTAATCAATTGTTAAAATGAATTTGACATATCTATATTTTAAGTATCGATTCATACGTATCCTCATGGTAAATAATTTCCCTTCGAATAGGGAATAGACAGAGTGTTATAGAAGTAAACATGAAACCAAACAATATGTTTTAAAATAATATATTATAAATGTAATGTATGGGATGCAAATGGCAATTTGTATTAGTATATCACTAGTGTGATAAGTAAATAAATGATAATAAATAAAAATGGCTAACGGATTTTATTATAATATTATATAAAATAAATTAAATAAGCTAATACTATGTCATCTCCCTTTCAAGGAAAAAAGAACTAATTCTTAAAAAATATAAAAGAATATAGTATTATTTTTATTATTTATATTTTCTTCTCAAAACTTGTAGGTATGTTAATTTAACTAATATATATAAAAATGTCCCTTACTCTTTAAAGAAAGTAACAACTGTAGGGCAAAATCGAGTTTGTTAGTAGTTAGTACAAACTGTAAATCACGTTTACTGTCTTCATAATTAATCTTATTCATATTAAATCTTAATGATTACAAGTTAACCATTTCGCCCTAGCGGTTGAGTATATTATTGTGAAATGGGTAGTACGTAGGTACGTTGTAGATACAATAGGTAGGTTTTTAGAAAAACTTGAAAATTTCTTAAAAAGATCCTACTAAAATATTACAGCAACTTATCTGCCGATTATGATGAGGTTGAGGGATTGAAGAACCTATTGGATGATAGCTACTCAAAGTACCTATAATCTAAAATGTTTTTCACATTAACACGCACAAACACACACGTACATATAGACGACAAATATATTATCATATTACATTTTTTTGTTTTTTGTTTGTATTACATACGTAATTTATGCCCACGTAATATATACTTACTGTAAATTTCCTTACAACCCTCAACCATGTGAATTCGATAAGCACTTGACTTAAATAAAAAGTCTGGTCTACTTTGGCACAACTGACATTATAGAGTTAGTTTGCAAATTTGCTTAGAAGACACCAATTGAATTATTGATTTTGAATTACGTCATGGAAAACAAAATGTTTCAATAACTCACTATTTATTGATAGTAGTAGGTAACATTTTACTCACATTTAGATTTTTTGTGCAGACGAAGAAACAAAGAAAAAACTAAGTTTTGACGAAACGTTGATAGTCAGCTGTGCACACTATGAAGGTACTTTTGAAGGGGAGTCTTCCGATTCCGAATGGTCTTGTACTGATTCAACGGAAAGCAAAGTTTTCGAACGAAAAAAAGATGAAGAAGTTAACTTGAAAATTAATCTTGAGGAATCATCTAATGTAAAGGAAGAAGCTGGTGATGAAGAAAATGATTTTCACTTTTATTTTTTTCCCGAATGTAATAAACCAATTCCACCCGATGATGATAAGGCAAGTGTGATAATAGTGGATGGTTTTCCAAAAATTAATAAAATTGAACCTGTGCCAGATTGTACTTGTGAAGTTGATAAAACTGGAAAATGTCCTTGTCATCTCAAAGTGCCTTGTGAATGTGACCCGAAAAAACGCGATGAGTGTACTTGCCATGAAGCGGAAAATATTTGTATATGTGGCGAGTTTCCTGAATTAATATGCAAATGCAAACCTAACAAAGTATGTATGTGTCATCCTGATGGAAAACCTCGACCAATTTGCGATTGTGGCAAAGTTCATAAGCCATGTATCTGCCAACCCGGTAAATTTCCTTACCCCATTTGTATTTGTGAACATAAACCAAATATAGACGCGAAGTTTGAGAACGAAGTAGGCGAAGAAATTACTTCGACATTGGAAAAAAAGGAATCTAAAAAAGAGCCTTGTTTATGCCAGAAACCATCGCCAAAACCTATATGTCTTTGTATTAAAGGAAAAGATTGTATTTGTAAACAAGGCACGTGTATTTGTGGTGTACAACCAACATGTATATGCGACCCAGCAGAAGGAGAAATTAATTGTGATGATAATGATTCTAAAACCGTTTGTAGCTGCCCTGTTGATCCAGAATGTAAATGCTACGGTAATACGCCAGATGGTTGCAGTTGCTTTCCAAAAGTTAAATACTGTACCTGTGGGAATCCTGAGGATTGTACCTGTTTATTGACTTGCGAATGTAAAGACCCTTGTCTCTGTGACATTGTCACAGTCAAAAAAGAAAATATTTGCGTGTGTGAAGATAAGCTTGATTCTAACAGTTCAGTTTTTCAAGATAAAAAAGAAGACAATAGATTAAAGAAAGTTAGAGCTGGAAAACATGGTTATCGATGGTGTCACGATGTAGATCCAAAGCATACATATTTCGACTTCGCTTATAATAGACACCATAAAATATCACATAAGGAGCACGTGAAAGAGAAACTGAAAATTTTAGGACTTTATGAGGAACCGAAAAAAGCAGATATTAATATTCCTGGAATTGAAAGCGCTAAAGTTCCTGTTTTTAAAAAGAAAGTTCGTAAACCATCAATAGATTGCTGTAGTGCTGTTGGAGGTACGGTACCTAAATAAGAAAAGTTGTCAATAAGTAGTAAACTCTATAGTACGCCATGTGTGCATTGAATATTTAGATGGTATTAACGCAGGTCCGATTTCTGGGACAATCCAACGACACATTGAGCTTTGATAAAGGCGGTAGTTATTTTTGAAGTAAAAAGTACCTAAATAGATTTTAAAATCACTTTAAATCTATCTACTCTATCACTTACTTCTAACAAAGAAGAAGCCACCTGATTTCAAGAAAAACTTTTTCTTGATATCAGATAGTATAACCTACCTAAATATAACCTATTTATTAATAAAAGAATCATTCAAATGGTTTGTTAGTCAAAACATTGCATAATATTCACTTAAACCGAGTCAATCAAAATATTTTTGAAGTCAATTAAAGAGCGGAAAACTGAGGTGTGACTTTGAAAAACTGTGAAAACTGAATATCAACGTAAAAATAAAAAAAATTTCATGTTTATTATAAAATGATATTTTTTTCGTGTGCAATTTTTGGCAAATACATTTTAGTATTCTTAATGTTTTTTATATAAATTATATGTTATAGGTATCAATATAAGCGTAGAGACTTTGGGTGAAGACAAGGATAAATTTTTAGTTCAAGTGGTATCTAACGCTTCAAAGGAAGGAGCCAAGACAGGGTCCAAACTTGTCAGTATTATTGATTGTAATCTACATACTTTAGAAGAAAATAGAACTGAGTAAGATATAAAAATAAATAAATAAATAAATATGTTAGGACATTACACACAGAACCATCCAGTTCCATGGTAAGCTACGAGGCTTGAGTTATGGATACCAGATAGTTGATACACTATACATATATAACTTTAAATACATACATATCATAAATATAAACACCCATGACTGGAGTACAAACATTCGTGCTCATCACACAAATGAATGCCCCCAGCGGGACTCGAACCTGCGACCTCTGGCATGGCAAGTAGGGTCACTACAAACTGAGCCAAACGTGTCGTCGAATATTATATTTTATTTTTTTAATCATATATTCATATACTTACTTATAAGTTAGTTTGCTATATTTGTTCAACGACGTCAAAAATGATGTACCTACCTACATACGTCATCACTCTAATTCGGTTGTATGTATATTTCTTTGTTCGTATGTTACGCGACATCTTTGCAAATTATGAAACAGTTTTATTTTTAATAGGTAATAATTTTAATATATTATCTTAAAATGAAATATTTCATTCCATAAAAAGGAATATTTACTTACAAAGTGCTTTTTAAGACCGGTTTACCTTAATATACAATATTAAATACTTTAATAAATAAATGAACTATATTCTTTGTCCACTGACTTTAATGTAAATAGAACCAACAAAGATTTTAATTTGAATGATTGCTGCTTTATATGAAAATATAACACAGCACTTAATAAATAAGTAGTTAATAAAAGTGCATTTGTTTCTGTTTGGTTCTTAAGTTTCTTTTAAAAGTTTATAGCGCCTTCATAAAATGAATTCTTTAAGTTGCGTCTTATGCTGCCTTTAAAAATATTCTCGATAGTTACCGATATATATAAAACTTTATGAAAATATTATTCGAAACAAGTAATATTTCTAAAATAAATGCAAGCTAATAAATTTTGTTTTGAAAATAAATTGAATGAAAATTGAACTACTTCGATTTTTGTTTAGTACCTATGTACTGCGTAAGTACATACTTATCTATGTAGCAATAACAAGGAATAAGTATTATTTAGTACTTGGTTATTGTAAAATGTACTACAATGCAACGACATAACGATCAATTTAGAATACAATGCTTTAAGCTTTCCCAACCTTAATTTTGTTGAATTTCGACCATAATATCTAAAGATGTTTTGTTTTATATACAATACATATACTGTGTTTTGATCAAGAAGGCAATATAAATTATGACATTGAAGGGTCTATGTTCTAGGATATTTGGGTTTTATCACTGACTCTGCGCTCTATTCACTTATAGGCACATTACCAAGAAGGATCTAACAAAAGAGCAGCGAAGTTACATGACAATCTGTGAAAGCGGCTATTACAATAAAGTGACCCGTATTTGCGGCGAACGGCATTTTGTTAAACGACTTTATCACAGCTTCGAGGCAGCTCATAATTTTTTACTTGAAGGTGCTAACGTGGTCTTACTACGGTACTTTGGCATAAGCAGATTTTGTGGTCATGTGAAAACTGATACCGTCCTGATAAACGGGATTGTTTGTGAAAGCGTTTATGTAAGTTGGTTATTATTATTTTTTTATATAATTACTACAGCAGATAGCAAAACGAGTTAAAAATCAAATATTTCTTTATAGTTTTCGATTTGGCTGAATCTTATTATTAAATTCAAAAGTGAAAATTAGCTCTTAATTTCAAATATATCAATAATAAAATTGTAACTAATCGCTGTCTGTACATTGAAGATATTTGAGAAAACCTATTATTTTTGGAATTTTTGTCTGTGCGTTTGTGCCCGCTAATCTCAGAAACGGCTTAATCTATCTTTGAATATTATTTAAAGTAAAATATATGATCTTATTACATGTGTTATGATATGAAATTGCAATAACACAAATAATGTTATTGCAATGATTAAATAAATATAGTAAAAGTAGTTAAGATAAATCTAAACTACTTAAAATGCCTTCAAAATCGGGTCTGCGTCCCAAAGAAAAGAATGTCAAGGATCATACCCTAATAATCCTCTCCTCCGCTTTTTGATATTAATTTGGAACTAATGAACTTAACAAACATGGATCAGCCTTCAAATATCTTTTGCAAACTAAATCATCGCGTTTAAGCGATAAAAAAGTAAAAAAAATATGTACTCCTTCAGTACAGCCACAAACACTTGGTAATTTGCTTCAACGAACATTATATGTACATCTTTAAAGATACTCATGTCTTTTTAAGCCAGGTGACATGTGAAAAAGTACGACTGATTAATTAAATATTTCAAAAGTTATCGGGCTAGGTAATTCTAAAACCTCTAAAAGAAATTATAAAAAGATGCGACAGCGCAGAGAATTTTCATAACTTATTTTCATAATATTTAATCATAAAAAAATATAGGTACCTGGTACATATATTTATTCTCTTAGTAGCGATATTTTCACCAAGAGCTAATTATAAAATTATAAAACGTATTCTGCGATCCCAAATTATTATAAAAATATGGCATTTATTTAAAAGACACGGATAAAGTTAGATTTTGTACACCGGTGGTAATTATCTTTATTTTATTAGGATAAATTAACTTTAAAATTTACCTTTATCCAATTATTATTTACTATATTTTGCTTTTTTGTAAAAGACGATACTATCTTATAATACGCAGACATTTTGGTGTGTTTACGATTACAAATGAATATATTGTAAATAAAATTTAAAATTTGTTGCAATTGTACAAGTTCATGAAAATATGGATGCACGTACAAAATAATTTTACGAAGTTATGCCGGTTTCCGCATTGCATCTACGTATGCCTAGAATCTTTCTCTCCCCGCATGAATAAACAAAATATGAAACAAATTGGTATCTCAAGAATTGCACACTTGAAAGCTTTTCCACTGTTAGTTGCATTAGTTACAGAAGTTTTATAAATTGGGCTTATATAAAAGAACAAACGGAAATATTTTTGAACATTTACGAAAGAGTATTGTAGAGGGCTATTACTACCCAATTCATATTTTTAGAGACTTTGACGTAATGGCAATACAGGTGACATATATTAGATATGTACAGTAGATAGGCATAGCAAATACTCGTACTAATCACTCTAGTTTAAATACTACTCGTCAACTTGTGATAAAGTACGCTTCTAATACAAATAAAATATTATATACTCGTAGGTAAAAAAGTAAGATTAATGAAATTAATACAAAAAAATATTATATAGGTAAAAAGGTAAGATTAATAAAATGCGTCATTTTACGTTTTAACTAAAATAACGCTTTATAAAATTTGATAGATACAAGTTGGGGCTTATTACATTTGAATATAGTGTTGGGAAACTGAGTCTGACTGGTCTAAGATGCAATGTATAGGCGCTAGCCGAAAGGTGGTCTAAAATATTCATATTAATACTTGAATGTCAGGTTTGAAAACTATTAAAATGTTGTCTTAACTAGTAACGCTAGGCCAGAGTGTTATGGAGGTAATGCTTGTAATAAAAGCATTAATCGATGAAATACGAAATTGTCAAATATTAATACTTATATTTATATGTAAATAGACAACTTGGTACCCTTTTTAGACAAATACGGAGGAGTATGAGCTTTGGCATAGTTAAAGTTTATATGGAGAAGGACTCCAGAAATCTAAAATTTCTTGATTTGCTTATTCCCGCAGCTTTGTTTACTTAATTATTTTATGTATAATTATGCTTTTCTAAAAGCTGCACCATGATGATAAACATATACCTTCACTAATTTTATACTAATATGTATATAATGTTGAATAGTTTGTTTCTCTGCAAGTGCTAATATCTGGAAGTACGGATCCGATTAGAAAAAATCTTTTTGCATATTAGAATCTATTTATTAAGGAAAACCACAGACTACCTGTCTCTAAACTTTTAAAACTAAACATAAACTGAAAATGGTGAATTATGTTCGATCTTCGACCAAGGGGCGAACACAAGTTTTTAGTCTTTATCTATAATATGTGCAGATTAGCCTAATATCTGCAATTTTTATTTTTTATTTAAAATGTATGATCAAATAGGTTTGCCTGGGCGTAAGCCAGTCTATTGTAAATGGAAAACCATTATTCGTTTCAAAAGTCGAACGTCACATCATAGAACCGTCCGGATTTATTCATCAAACATTGACAGTTCTCACGCTGAGAGGTAAGCTCGCTTTCAATAAGAACTTTATAACTACGATTCCAGCTCAATTCTATTTTGACTTATGCTTTGGGAAATTTCGTTAAATTAGTATGATTTATGTTTATAGCATTGTAATTTTAGTGTTAATTAGTACATTTGTACATTGTGTAAAAGCTCATGTTTTATGCCAATATTAAGTCAGTTTTCAGCGACTCGTCAAATTATACGAGTATATAGATTCAAACATTCACTGTCAGACCTAGAAAAATATTAGGATGGCTTATACAGGTTAATAGCCTGAGATGTGACCTTAATTTTCGACCCTAATGTTTTATGCAATAAATGTTTACTTACTAATTATTATTACTAACAGTAACGATTTCTACTTGAATTAAAATTTTTACAAACTTTTGGGAATATTGGTATGATATTCGGTATAGACTTCACTCCAGTCACTTTTTATGAGCTTAATTTACAATTCCTAAAGAAAATAACGTACTATTTACGAAGAATATTCTTGTTTTCAGTACATTTAAATAGAATAAATATTGTATAATCCAATAGATATTTAAAGAATATATTTCAGTAGAAACATTAGCTGATTTACTTTTCAAAGGTTACCTCGTGAGTCATGAGTGGGCGGATAGTAGCTACATATTTCATATTAACCCTCTACTGCGCGTCGTTCCCGAAAGAGATGAAATAGAGCCTCACGAGCCACTACGGGAAAAATGGCGGAGCGATTTACAGTTGCTATCGGATTATCTCGATTTTAAGGTAAAGTTTCATATTTCGTGAAGTATGGTATTTCTTGAATAGCGTTTAAAGCGACTTTGTTGTTTGAGCAAGTTTCAAGAATTCTTTTGCAAATTTATTGCTTTATTTCTGAGACCTGGAGATATTCAAAACGTTGTTTTTGCAAATTTTGCTTACACAAAATGTTTATAGACGCAACATTTTAAATAAAATAATTTAATAAACAATTATTTATTACTAAAAATAATGTACCTACCTATATCTGCACTCTATTGATGAAATTCTTGAAATTTACTTTATAATATTACTAGCGACACCCTCGCTTCGCTCAGGTTCGTCCCTAGCTTGATTCCCAATACAAATTTTCGTCCCCATTTTCACCCTCTTAAGGGTTGGTTCCAGGGATAAAAAGTTTCTTTTGTCCCTTCCAGGGTCACAAACTATCTTCTTACCAAATTTCGTCTAAATAGTCTTCAGTAGATTCAGAGATTACTCCCTACAACCTCACAAACTCACAAACTTTACCTCTTTATAATATTAGTATAGAATACAAATTTTTATCGCTAATAATAATAGAAAGCCTTGCTGTACCTATGTCACACATTTTTTGGAACGAATAGTTTACAAACTCTTTAATATTATTATTAGCATTTATGATAATAATGTTTGCTCAAATTAAAAAAAAAAAAACAAAATACATAAAAGAAACGAATTATATTTTTACAAATTATGTTCTTTGAAAAATGTCACATATATTTACGCATATTATTTTATTTTATCTTGAAACAAACGAAACTCATTAAAATAAATAAATTTCTACCCAGAGCACGCGTTCGTCTGAAGGCGCGAGATACGTGACTGAAAATGGCGAATTAACCGGTGTGATTCGGGACTACCTTCAAGCGTTGCTACTCCTTCGTCCACATGATGCTTTACATTTTACTAGACACTATTTTTCTTCAGCTCTATCTGCTATAGATCTTCCTCATAACGAATACTTTGATCCGTGCTCTAAGCATGTTAGATATTATTTCTTCGAGGATTAGCTTTTAAATTAAATTTTTAGACCTGTCAATTATACTTTTATCTTTTTTTATTATATTCGAAGTTTTAGTAATTTTTTTAAAAATACTGCCAATAATAAGAATTTTTCTAAACTTTTTTTTTTAATTTTCTTGTAAAAATATTTGTCAAAAGCAATTTATCTAACGTCTTCATAATTAAAAAAAAATACGAAGATGCCTCTGGATTTTTTATTGCCTATTTCATTAATTAGCATCTGGGAAAAGTAATTTACTTAATAGCATCAAAGGCTCTACAATATTCCAAGTCAATTAACAACAAGCAAGTCTCTGTAAATATTCATTTTGAATAATTAGCGTTGTGTTTAGAATTTTTTATACTATATTAAAACAATAAAAATCTTGAGTGTACAATACATTTAGTTTGTTTTTTATTTTGTCTTATATTCCTAAATTAAATGGATATGCGTAAAGTTTTTTTTCATTAGATTAAGTAATTACATTGTGAGATGTTAGTTATGGAGTGTTAATGGTTTTGAACGTGCAACATAATGTTTTTTTTTCTTATAAATATTTTTACGGCAAGATAACTTGATGTTTGATTGATGGTTGACATAAAACTCATAAATCTTGTTTGTAGTTTATGGTCTTCTCTATATACATATTTGTTTAGGTTATCTATCGCTAATACTGGGAGGATTACTTTACTTCTACTTATTAGAAATATTAGGTGTTCTAAGTATTGAAGAGTGAGTGATTTTAGTAACTTTTTAATATACTTTGCATTGTGAAATTATTTAACCTCCTATGAAAAGGTCTAGGACATCTTCATTTTGACATTTATTCTTCTAATTACTTACAACTTAAAAGGCAAATAGCGATTTAAATAGAAAACAAAGATATTATTTACATAACACACTAACACATTATACTCGTATATTTAGATTTCGTCAATGTTTAAATATTGTACCCTAAGTAGGATTAAATTTACAAGATAAAGTTTCAGTCTATTACAATAATTAATCCGTAACAACTTCTATGTACTTCGATATTAAATGGGAGGTTTAATTGGGATGAAGTAGAAGCCAAAGGAACAGTTCGTTTTTTTAAATATTGTCTATGTTTAGTTTTACTTGTGAAGTATTTAAAAAACGTTAAATAAATTCTATTCTTGCTGACTATAATTTTTTCGTTGTTCATTTCAGGGGGGGGGGGGGGGTGATGGTACGTACTTGTACTGTAGTGACGAAGTCAACAAGGTTTTTCTTTTACCCGACTGCAAGGAAAGGGTTGTCTTTGTATGTTAAATGTTTGTAATATTCTTTATTCCCTCATATCTTCCAAACCACTCGATGGATTTCTTTAATTAAGGTATCGTTAGATTCATCTCATTAGTCCAAGTATTCTTAAATAGGTGACATAAAAAAATGAAATATAGAGGCTACTAGAGTCCATAATGTGAAAAAGAAAAAAAAATGAAAATCGACGAATTATATCAAGTGGGGTATCGTTAGATTGCCTGCCTCCACCATCGTATACAAGAAATAAAGTTTACAAGAAACCAATCTTCATTAATGAACACGCTTAAATTTTCAATGAAAAGCCAATAAATTATCATAAATTTAAAATTTTATAAAAGTACAAGATTTAATTCAAGCTAGCAAGCTCATAGTGTATAAAGCGTTTTATATTATATTTTGAACTATAGTGTAATAAAGAAAATTGCGGTGTAACTTTTTTGAAATCTTGCTCCCAAGCGTGCTATAATCAAGCAAGAGACGTGCCAGATACGAAAAAAAGTTCGTATCCGTAAGGTATGAGACAAAAGCGCAATAGAATTCAAATTATATTAATTCACTAGAATTTGACCGCCGGTCTGTCCGTGTTATTTATTTACGTATAATTATTCTGCTTCCAATGGCTGTAGCTTGGTGTTAGGTCTTCAAACTCAAATTCAAAATATTTTATTCGGCATTAAATTATTTTTTTTTACTGAACCAAAGAAGAAGTTTTAGACCTCGAAGAACTGGCGAAAGAAATTCAGCGGGACTAAAATTATTTCTTTATCTTTTTGTAAGTAAAATTATAATTTACAGTAATTCTATTAAGTTCAAGTAGCCTGGAGGCGATCATTTCACTCCCAAGGCGTGCCATCTTCTATAAAATCATTCATTGTAAGTATAATTTTAATACACAAATGTTCTTTTAAAAAAATGAATTTGGCGATAGAAGATTTTTGTACGTTTTCTGGGATCCTGTGGTATAATCGTATAAATTGTTCATAAAAGAATTACTGACTATATGTAAACGAATCACAGGCATTACAAGTTTATGTTATCTTCTAGTATTAATGTTATACAGGTCATACTTCTTGGTTAATTCGTGCATATTTTTACGAACATATGAATAATATTTTTGTACACGTACGGAGAATCAACAGTCAATGTTTTATTTCTTTAAACTTATCGCTTAATGACACTTTAAGAACTAAACTATAAATTGCACGAATTGCTCTTTCCTGCACAATTGAAACCGTATTAATAGCGGCTGCATTTCCTCATAGTAAAATTCCATAAGAATACTATGGAAATGCTATAAAGTATAGATACTATGCGAGCTGTATCTACGAGTATGTCGGTAATACGTCTTATTTTTTAACCGTGAACGCTGCAGAGCTGAGTCTACTCACTAGCCCCTCAATATTAATTTGACGACACGTTTGGCTCAGTTTGTAGTGACCCTACTTGCTGTGCCAGCGGTCGCAGGTTCGAGTCCGGCTGGGGATATTCATTTGTGTGATGACGAATGTTCGTACTCCAGTCATGAGTGTTTATATTTATAATATGTATGTATTTAAAGTTACATATGTGTAATGCATCAACTATCTGGTATCCATAACACAAGCCTCGTAGCTTACCATGGAACTAGACGGTGTTGTGTGTTAATGTCCCAACATATATTTATATAGCAAGACATCGATATTAAGTCGAGTTGAATAAATTCATCTATATACATATAATAAAAATCCGAGTCGAATCTGTACATTTTAAATATGGAGGCCCCACTGCAATTTCCAATCTATAAGTATCTCTTATAACCTTCCATAATAAATAGGCTATGAAAAGCAAAAGACTTTTCCAATCAAACTAGTCGTTTCAGAGATTAGAGCGTTCAAACATGCAAATAAACTCACCAGCTAAAGGTATACCTATAATAGTAGTATAAATAAATAAAAAAGGAGTAGTCAAAAATCAAGTTAAACTTAATCGACTTTGTATAACGATATTCGGACAATCCTACTTACTGGAGATGTGAAGCTTCACTTTCAAAGTTCAATATTATTCCATCTCTTTATTAATATTCATGTTTAATTATGATAATTCCATTGTAAATTTAATGTTGGACTGCATATATTATCCTTTACAAATATCAGAAAAGTGAAAGTATAATGACTTCTTATTTCTGATTAATTTTAGCCAATTAATTATTTTACATTAAAATGAATTATGAAAATTTAAAATTATGCTAGCTTCTTTCTATCTGTAACTACTTAAGTTATTGTTTATTTTAATGTTCTACAGTAAAGCTAAAGTCAAAAGCAGTGTTATAAAATTAATAAGAAGATTGGACTATAGCGATAAGAAATTGTATTGCCGGGATGAAATAAGTAATATTTTTGTGTCAATTTTCATTTTTTTTCTATAATGGCCTTATAGTTGTGTTAACAGACGCAATCCATTCTGCCAGTGTCATGTTTTGTGAGGAAGACACGAATGAGATTGAGCGGTAATTTTGAAATTTAGTAACTTTAATGTGGAATTAAAACTATAAATTAATGATCGGTCTACAGCAATTTTCATATTAATCCGTTCAATGCTTGACGCGTCTAAAATATCCAAATATTCTCACAAACTTTTACACGAGCAGTATACATCGTCTATGCTGTCAGTAATAGGGAAAGCAAGCATAATTTTGCAGAAGTAAAGATTGTTACAAATGACCAATATTTATTAAGAAAATTCCCCTCTCTAGTGGGGCCGGCTGTCAGAAGTTCGTTGGCCGGAAGACCCGAGGTCCTTTAGATCACGTTCAAATCTTTCTATCTAAAAACCTTTGTTAAAATATAATAGAATATAATAGATTATTGTTTGATGGTATTTATCAAAGTATCATTTTGTCAAATAAGTTATGTTGAAATAAATTATTTGGCAAAGATTTAAAAGATATTTTAATGTGTAGGGGGCGTATAGCACGAACGTTGTGTGCGCAGTCCAATATTATCTTGTAGCACAGCATATAATACTATATTAGTACCAGTAGTGTCGGTATTTTTATTATCTGTATAATATATACGAATTTGTACCATAATTCTTCTATACTAGATATCACAATATTAATTTTTGTTTTTAGACGTGATCAAAGCCTAAAAGTATAAGTAGTAAAAGTACCTCTGGTAAACGTAGGCACACTACAGATTTTTGGTATTTCAATTGTCCTAAATTTTTTCTTAACTATGTTCTCAGACTTAAAGAGACTTTTTTATTGTAAGATTACCTATATTTAAATAAAATGCCGTTCATAGTTTTTTGCTCTTAACAATGTCGTCTTTTAAGTTATGCCCTCTTTATTATACTGGCTTTTTTAATATTAAAATAAAAAATAAGTTAAAGTCTTATAATATCTGCTTTTTAGTTAAGTATTAACAATATTTTTATAGTAGAATAACAAGTATTTGCTTATTTTTTAGTAAATAAAAAAATAATATTATTGAAAGATATATATAGGTACCTATATAAAACTCAATAAGCACCCTCATTATATTCGGGCTTCTGTTCTTGACTCGGTAGAAATATATTACGTTACTAGTGACTCACCCTTGCTCCGCTCGGGTTCTTCCCTAGGTAATTCTTTAAATTGACGTAACTTTTTTATTTATGAACCGATTGAAATAAAATAAATAATAACTGTTAAGTGAAGCTTACCACAATATATTAGTGAAAACAGCATCCAAATCGGTTAAT